TCCTTTTTCTGTCTGCCATAACCCTGTATTGCAAAAAATGGCAAAGGGTTTGACTGCCACACATGTATACAGGAAGAATTGATATCCGATTAGATCAAAGGCATGGTATCTCTAACTAAAATTGAGAGACTGACTAAAATATGGAGGTGGATAGGTCATAGTCCTATAGATGGTTTGTATAGCGGGATACACGATCCATGCCACATTAGTCTACGTCTGCACAGCGGAACTATTTCAGGATACCAGCGGTATCCCAAAATAGCTATTCCGCATCTTAAGAGCAAGCCTGTTATATCGAAATATAATGGGCTCACTATTCTGACGTCCCTGTAAACCTCATTGCACAAGGGTTAAGGGACATTTTGGAATAGCACCTTATTTCGAAATAACATCAAAATAAGTTAAGAAATTTGCATAGCGCAAATTGCATAACTTATTTTTAGGTAAGGGTGCTGTGTAGACACACCCTTAGTGAGGTAGGTTAGAATCTTCATTCCATAAGATTATAGTTCTTAACAGTGTGCAGAGATTTTTGAGGGAAATGTGAACGTCTGTGATATGAAATTGATTGATTGATTGAAGATGTTGCTCAACTGCAAAGGGACCAAATTAGAGCTGGTTTGAAAGCTTCAAAGTATCTCCACACATTGGAAGATGTCCCAGGAAGGTCTATTTGGTTGAAGGTATGCAGCAAATCTAATTAAACTATGTTACAAATACTCTAGGCTAATTTTCATAAGAGGTTCATTTGCTTTATACCATTACAGCTGTGCTGTACAGCTGGAAACCCGGTCAAAAAGGCTTCATGAAGAAAAAGCGTACAGTGGGCTAGAGCTGGGTTAGTGTGAACTTGGTGGACTAAATATGTGCATAGTGCTCTCAGGATTATGATATGTTAGTAGCTTAACTGGTGTGATTCGAGGACAATCTTATTGCGCAAACTATACTGTGATAAATAAAACTTGCAGAAACCTGTACACTGCTTTCAGTAAGCACTGGATTGAGCCCTAAGCCCCTTAAAGGCAGTGTTCTGAGAAACCAATATATTGTTAGACTTTTTTTATTTGGAAGCCTTTTCTTCATTGAACTGTAATCTAATAATATACTAAATATATATATAGATATGGTATTTGTATGAAATTTACTTCTCTATACATACAATATGAAGACTAAATAAAACCAACACTTTTGTACCCATAAAGGTGAAATAAACCTTTCAACCAACTTAATGCCAAATCACAGATGAGACTATATTTAACGATAATCAAATTATTATAAAATAACCACTATTAAAAATCTTTGGTGAACACAGTAGGGACATTAAAAAGTGGGTAATTGGGTAAATGTGTAACCACTGAAAATCTCAACACGTATGTGGTTACCCATACTTGTAGTGCAGAGTGGCAGCTGGCTCCCACCTGCTGCCCCCACACTGCTTCCTCTGATACAGCATGGGTGGCAGCCTCCTCCCCAAGTGTAGGGTGGGTGCCTGCATAGAACTGTGAACATTAAACAATAAGCCCTGGCTCATCAGTTAACTGTTTACATGGTAATACTTTCACACACCCCTAGAACAGAGTGTATTACAAATGTTCACTCAAATCCAGTTTATGGACTTCTGTTCAAATACAGATAGAGATTTTCAGAATAATTTCTGTAAATGGAGAACTAGTACAATGTATCCATTTAAAATCGTTTGCATGAAGCATACCCTGCATAAAATAATCATTGAACTAGAATTGCAGCTATAAATGTGGACATTATTTTAAGCAATAAGAAGTTTATTTTATTATAAGCAGTGAAACATGACATCTTGTTTTAACTTCACATATGCTCTCAATGTTGTCTGCAAAATAACAAATGTTTTGTAATCGTTTTATAAGGCTTGTACTGAGCTTGAAGGTCAAGAAATGTATTTGCTTGAGGATGTCTTCTAGAAAGGGGCTGCCTATCACAGGAATTACTGAATGATACTGAGATTTAATCCTCACTAAACCTGTGCTTATATCCAAAATGTGTGCTACTTTACCTATCCTGTTATTGTAATGGGATGCAACTGTTTCAGTATATATTTTATTATTCTTTTAATTAATTGATGGAGATTGCCTATCTCCTAGAACTGGAAGGGACCTTGAAGGTCATTGAGTCTAGCTCCCTGCCCTTATGGCAGGACCAAGTACCATCTCTGACAAACTTTTGCCCCAAATCCCTAAATGGCCTCCACAAGGATTGAACTCACAACCCTGGGTTTAGCAGGCCAATGCTCAAACCACTGAGCTATTCCTCCCCCCTTATGAAAAGAGAAATAAGCTATATTGGTATGAACAGATACTATAAAATTCATGGTCCATTTTGATCAATTTTGTGATCATAAGGTTTTAAAATTTGTCAATTTCACAGTTTTCATCTGACATTTAAGGTTGTAAATATTGGGATCCTGACCCAAAAGAGGGCATGGGGAAGTGCCAAAAAAATGTTGAAGAAAGAATGTGGGATTGCAATCTTCACTTCTATTCTGTTCTCTGGGCTCTGAAGGCAGCATCTGTAAAGCTTCAGGTAAATGGTGGAAGTTTCCAGAGGTGGGTCTGATCTGTTCCTGGCAGTGGTGGGGAGAGATAGGACTTCCTCTTCCTCTGTACAGCTGCTCTTGGGAGGAGATCAGACTGACTTCTGAGTATCTCACCCAGCTGCAGGAAGTGCTACAGGTGCTCTTCCTAACTGAAATAGTAATACTTTGTGTAGATCAGGCTTAAGTTAATTCCAGTTGCTTCTTTCTGAGCACTGACAAAATAAAGCCATTTCTACACTAGGGATGTTACTTTTTAACATGTAACCGCTGAAAATTTCAGCAGTTACACACTCACAGTGCAGGGCAGCATCCAGCTCCCAGTTTGTACCAGCACCTGTGTGCTGGTCCTACTCCTGGGCAGTTGGCTGTCACCTCACACTCCTGCCTCTCATTTAGAGGCAGCAGTGCAGGGCAGCAGCCAGATCCTTGGGAGTGGGGCAGGAGCCTGCGTGTTATTGTTCATGGTAATGGATAAGCCCATGTTTATTGTTTAATCATGTGAATGGTATGCTACTACTCCCCTATCCTATACAGAAGCTTTTTCGATATATTAATATTTAGGCCTGTGGGGTGCTAAACATCTGCAATGCTCTGTGAAGTGAATGGCCCTTAAGGTGTTCAGATCCTCGCTTGGACAAAACTCTTTTTGAAATTAGTTGGAGATTGGTTGAATAGTGGTTGCTGATCTGAATCCCTTTAAGAGAGATTGTTCAAATCTGGAATTGCTTTAAGGGTTTGATTAAAATATGGCAGGTGTACAATTGGTAGGAAGTTGCTTGCCATTAGTGCATTAAAAGTAATGCAGCTTTTAATACATAGAAATGAAAGAGGTGTATTGGCGCTGAAAATAAAATCAGTTTTTTAAACATTCTTTTGGATGTTATACATATACATAGCTAATGTTATACATTATACATAGCTAATGTATAATGATGGGTATGAACATTTTCACTAATTCTCTCCACAGGTTCAAATGAACAGCTTTGTTTTACCTAACTATTGGCTCAGTTCTACATGATAGGCACAGCCTGAGTAAAGGCTGATGTGGAAGTGAACTGTCCCAGAAGCAGCTACATGTGGCATAGTGCTCCTGAGTGCTTCAGCATATATGGGGAACATCCCGTTATTATTCCTCTCTACAGGGGACAGCACATATTCTCCTCATGCTTAGAGAATGTTTAATTTAAAAGGGGTGAGGGAAGCTACTGTTGGCAGTGAATTTAATTAAAAATAATTACATTTTTATTTATTTTTCAACATCAGAACTAAGAAAACCAAATAAATCTATAAGAAGAAACAAGACATGTTTCTTAAATTTTAGGTTTTAAATTAAGTTGGCAGTGTTTCTAATTCTAATAAAAGATACTGAGGGTTTTTTATTCCAGATAAATATCCCTTCTTTTTTTAGCGTTCATTTATTTTTAATTTTGTGAACACATCTGCCCCTTTAAATTGCTGCTTCTGGTATGATAGCTCATTTCATTGCAGTCTGTCAGATTTTTTTCTTCACATTCTCATACAGAGGACACTTAAAAATTTTGTGGAGATTTTATTTAGGACTTCCCCTTCTCCACTTTGGGCTATTACTAGGAGCACAAAACCTTTTCCTTTTCTTCAAGTTTTCCAGGAATCTCTACTTCTTTCCCCCTTTTTGATGGTTTATGCATATATCTGTCTTCCATCCTCTGTCCCACTCTCTGCTAGGATTAAATAATAGTTGCAAGGCTTCCAATGATTTCAACAGGCTTTGAATCAGAACCAAAACCTGGTTGCAGATGTTTGTTCAATCAGGATTGAGGATATTTTTAAATGAGGGACCTGATCCTGAAAACCCAATGCATGCAGAATCACTTCTACCTACAGAGGACCAGCACTATATTTTATTTTCTTAATTTTTACACGGATGCAGCTATGGCTGTTTCACTGTACACTCACCAGAATGCATTGTTTAGATATGCTGTAAGATATATACAAAGATTAATTTACTTGATGTAAAATAAGGATACTCATTAACCTTTAAAAAGTCCATGTGTCTGATTCAGAAATTATCTGCATGTGGGCATACCTCTACACCTATAAAATGCCACTGAAGTTAGTGTTATGATTTAGCACACAGATATACATTTAAAAAAATAAAATATAGGAGGCTCAATGTAGTCAGTGAAATATGACTATAATGAGAATGCTTTGTAGTGAAATCACAATATTTTAAGACACTATGATTTAGACCTGAACTGGTGTACCAGAAGTAAACCTTGTAAATGGGGCATTACATTTTCTGAGCCAAGCATTTCAAAAGCTGTCAAAGTAACTGTTACCTCCTGTCTTGGAAGATGCCAGAAATCTATAAATAAACAGATAATAGAGGCGTAGAAATTTTTTTATGCTGTTGTTGTTATTAACACCCTTCTTTCTTTTTTCTTTCCTTCAGCATATCCTATTCAGTACATGTCTCAGAGGATTATCCAGGTACAGTGAAACATTCCTTATTATGAAGCAAAGATCACTGTTAGAGCAGAATTCAGAGGTTCAGATGAAGATATTTGAAAATTCATTAATGTGTTCTAGGAGCTTCTTTTTGCTAATCATTTCCCATCAGTCAGATTGTTTTCACAGTCATTTCTCCTATTCAGCCTTCATTTGTCAGTCAGGTCAGGGTGAGAAAATCTGATTCACAAGTTTTGTGAGAAGGGGACTGTGATGCTTAACATGCCTAAAACTGTTGATGAGGAGAATCTAAAAACAATGTAACTCCTGTTTGGTATGAAATATATAGTTTGATCCAGTAAAGTGCTGAGCATTCTGGCTCTGATCCAACAAAGCACTTAAACATGTGCTTGAAGTCAATGGTACTGCTAGTGTTCTTAATTTTAAACATGTGCTTAGGTGCTTTGTTTCATCACATCCTTTCAGGATCAAGCCCATAATATATCTTAAAGGTCAAAACTACTATGAATGACAAGGCTCTGTTTGGTCTTTTTGTAATATTCATTTTAATGTGTATTCTATCTTTTAGAAAATTCCTCAGCAAATGGCTAAGGTCCTAATCTTGCTTAATTATAGGTAGGAGTGGATCCATGTGCCCATGGAGCCATGAATAGACTGTGATCACCAAAGAGTTTGTTTAATAATACAAAACAGACTGTTTGGGTTTTAATTAGACTGAAAGGGAATCCTCAGCTGGTAAATTTGTAGGTATTGTAGGAACTGCTCAGAGAATTATGGATATATCAGTTTCAGACATTTCTGTTATCTATGTCATGGCACCACTATGGCACTAGTAATAATGTTGAAATCATCACCTAAAACTGAATGAATTGCTTCACAAACCTCAGAGTGATAGGAAACTGAGTGTTATGCCTTAAGTCCCTGAACTTATGTGATGCGGCAACTGTCAATAGTGGCAGCAACTGCAAAATATCATAAGTGTAAGTGGAAACAAATACTATTTTAAACAGTAATGTCTCCACGTTGCTTATACATTTCTGAAGTCATGAAAGTATCACTGATATTTTTAGAAGTAGTATTAATGGCATCGAGCATCTTTGGAACTATTGGAATTAGGGAAAAAATTCTGTTGAGGAAAAAAAATGGGGGGAGATGAAAGTTATTGAGTAAAAAAAAAGTACTCAAGTTATTAAGCATGCATAAATAAATAAAAAATAGCATGGCCCCTTTAAGAAATGCCTTTGAGGCTTTTTGGCCTTAATCATCTTTTCTTCCTGCTCCAGGCCAGACAACTCCCCTGCGGACCCAGTATTTTTGCCTCCTGGCCAGGAAAAAATCAGAAAATACCAGACATTTTAGGTGTCCAGTATTTTCTGATTTTTTTTTTTTTTTTTTTTTTACCAGACAGGAGGCGAAAATACCGGACTGTCTGGGTCAGTACCAGACACCTGGCAACCCTATTTGGAACCATTTTTTCATAATTTTAACACAATATTAGTCTAATTATGCTCCAAAAGAGCTGTATATATTGCAAATGGTACACTAAAATTCCATGAATATGAATTGTGACAGTGTGACATTAATGAGTATTTTGCCAGTGAATAAATGCCCATAGTGATATACATTGGCTGACATAGACAGAAATGAAATGTTGTTGCCTATTATGCCATTCATATGTGTATGTTGTGTTAACTAATGCAAGATATGATAATGTAAATGAGCACCTTGTATTTACAGTTGAAAGACCCAATTCTGCCAGAAGTAGATCTCTGGGCCAGTGCATTGCTTTCATTGGGACTAGAGCTATGTCGATACTACAGGGTTTTTTCGAAAAAAGTGGCCTTTTTTCGAAAAAACTTCACTTGTGTCTAGACTGCCGTCATGTTCTTTTGAAATTAAATCGAAAGAATGCAGCATTTTTTTCAACAGTGGTAAACCTTATTTTATGAGGAAGAACGCCTTTTTTTCTAAAGAGCTTTTTTGAAAAAAGGTGTTCTTGAATGCAAGCAGGGCTTTTTCGAAAGAGAGCATCCAGATTGCCGAAAAAGCGGATTTCTTTTTTGAAAGTCTTGTGGCAGTCTAGATCTTTTTTGAAAAAGGCTTTTTTGAAAGAGGCTTGTAGTCTAGATGTACCCTATAGCTGTGTCTAGACTGGCAAGTTTTTCCGGAAAATCATCTGCTTTTCTGGAAAAACTTGCCAGCTGTCTACACTGGCCTCTTGAATTTCCGGAAACGCACTGACAATCTACTGTAAAATCATCAGTGCTTTTCCGGAAAATCTATGCTGCTCCCGTTCGGGCAAAAGTCTTTTTCTAAAAGACTTTTGCACAAAAGTGCCAGTGTAGACAGCTGGCAAGTTTTTCCGGAAAATCATCTGCTTTTCTGGAAAAGCGTCCTGCCAATCTAGACGCGCTTTTCCAAAAGTACTTTTAACTGAAAACTTTTCCGTTAAAAGCATTTCTGGAAAATCATGCCAGTGCAGACGTAGCCTATGTATAATACAGAGGGTCCGTACTGCCTAGGCTTATTTATAACGTTCCTTTCAGCTACCCATGCATGTTTGAGACATTTAGGCACTTCAGCACACATAAGAGATCCACAGATAGGAAATAGTCCCTTTATTAGACAATCTTTCTATTAAACGGCCACCATTCTTGTCTGTCTGTCACGGGATTTTCAGCTTTCACGCACACATCCATATACATATACAAACATATGGGTATGCATTGTATTTGTATTGCAAGAGTTGGAAGGGCTTCTGGGAAGTTTGATTTGACTGGGATGGGTTCTAGATGCTTCAAGAAGGTTCGATCTTAAGCCACTGGTAGGCGAACATGGACATTCAACCGTGTGGAGTTGCTATTTCCATCACCTATTATATCACCAACTACGTTGCTAAATGTGAACCTACAGGTTTTGAAAGAAGCCTCACAGACACTATTGCTCAAATCAGAGAGGAAGAAATCAATATGTTTTGAGAGTTGTTTAAAATATGTATGGCAATGTTCAATAAATGCCAAGTCTCTGCCTGGCTAACAGTTAGCAACTACCTTGAATCATACTTAGCAATCCAATCTGTCTCCTACATTGTTAGCTTAAAACTTTATTTTTGACTTTTTGGTAAAAAAATTATTTTTAGTCTTTTGGTGTGCTTTTAGAAATATTGTCTTTTTAAAAAGTTTATATATATATATATATATATTATGTCCTTGATGAAAGCATGCTGGTATGGCAACCAGGGAAGGTGCTTGGATGGTACCATTGGGCTGTAGATGAAGTCTTTATTATGTACCCATTATCCTAATAACTCTTTTTCTTTTATAGATAACACATATGTTTCCAGTTCAGATAATGATGAAGATGTGTTAGTTACAACAGAGGCAATCCCAGTAATTTTCCATAGAATTGCAACAGGTAACATTGAAAAATAATTTTAAGTTGAAGTTTTGTGGGGGGACTGCAGTATAGTATCCATACATAAAGGACTATATGACAATATGGATTGCTGTATATCATGCAGTTCTCTCACAAGCTCATTGTTGGGTATGCTCATACATTTTGGAATAGAAACAACTAAAATATTTCTTTTGAGGAGTCTGTAGGCAATATGGCTACGTCTGGACTACATCCCTTTTTCGTAAAAGGGATGTAAATTAGATGTATCGCAATTGCTAATGAAGCAGGGGTTTAAATCTCCCCCGCTTCATTAGCATAAAAATGGCTGCCGCTTTTTTTCCGCATGGAGCTTTGCTGGAGAAAATTTCATAGAGGGATAAGGGATCTTTTGGAAAAGGCTTTATTTTCCACAAGATCAGAGTCTAGACTGGCGCTTTTCTCCGGCAAAGCTCCGTGCGGGAATAAAAGCGGCAGCCATTTTTATAATAATGAAGCAGGGGAGATTTAAATCCCCGCTTCATTAGCAATTGTGTTACGTCCCTTACAAAAAAGGGATGTAGTCTAGACGTAGCCTATGTGTTTCTACTCATTTTATGGCTTGCACACAATGGGACATACTTACCCATCATTAAGGCTTCTGAACTCTTCCCTTTGTAAGACCTCATTTTCATTTGCTTATCACTTTGTTAAACTTTAACAATTTGGGATGAACATTTCTGCGTCAGGTATCTATTTCAGTCTGATTTTTTTTAAAGTTTTAAGCAAAAACAAAGCCAGGGAAGAACACATTATTTTGACCATGTAAATCAGCACCCTTTGCCCAGGTACTATTAAGGTGTATCTTTTGCCAGCGCCATGAAAACCTGCCCACATTTGGCTAAGTAAGGTTTTAAAATCTGTTCACAAATGCTTGGCTGCTAAATTCCCTGAAGCTTCTGTCCACAGTAAGCATGTTGCAGTCCAGGGTTAATTTTCTCTGCAGTTGTAGCTCTGAGTTCTACAAACTGTGCTAGGTTTGGTTCTGGAAACGTGAACTTATACTATGAAAATTCTCTCTCCTGTGTTCTCAGTGACTCCCCTGAAAGACTCAGGCAATATGGAGAACAAAGCTGTCAAACTGGAGTGCAGAGGAGACAGAAGTTGGAGTGGCAGGAGAAGTAGATTGGGAGTCTAGGGGTAGGGGAGATGTTCTGACTGGAAGGTGCCAGGAGGAGGGAAGAAAACTGAGAAAGGTAATTGGGGTGGGATGAGAGGCAATGGTGGAGGCTGAGAGTGGGAGCAAGGGAACAGACTGGGACTGGCTGGCAAGGGAACTGCCACTGGCTGGAAAAGGAGACTGGGACAGATAGTCCATGAAGCAGGTACTAGGAGCCAGTGAGTACGAAGGAGACTGCACGAGCAGTCTTCATTTTATTTCCTAACTTTTGAGTGCTTTAAAAATGAGTGGTCCTATGGACTCGTGAGCTTTTGTGGGCAAAACCCACTGGATTTCTATATATTTTGATTCTGAACATTTTGATTAGTCTCTAAGGGCTTGTCTACAGTACAGAGAAGGTTGAAGATGCCTCAGTCGGTCTTCCTGGGTTCTTATTAGCGGGTCTAGTGAAGACACGCTAATTTGAACTGAGAGGGAGCTCCTATCTGTTCTGGTAGTCTTGCTCCTACAAGGAGTAAGGGAAATTGAAGGGAGAGTGTGCTCCCGTCGACCTCCCACTGTGTGGACGGCACCAAAATGTGATTTAAGATACTTTGACTCCAGCTACATCATTAACTTAACTGGAATTGTGTTTCATAATTCAAACTTATCCCCTAGTGTAGACCTAGCCTAAGGTGCCACTCGTTGTTTTTAAAGTTACAGACTAACATGGCTACCTTTCTGACATTTTTTTTGAATGCTTGACATTGCAACTGTAATAGTGTTATTAAAATGTATTTTTTGTGTGTAACATAGAATTAGCCTGAAAAATATACCTGGGTGCCGGAATGGTAAAGTGGTACAATGTTGGTAGAAAGCAAGCTTTTTATGTCTTAATTCAGGGGCAGGCAATAATTTTTAAAAAGGGGCCACTTCAGAAATTTTTGAAGTGGCTCCAGGCCACCCTGGAGGGGGCAAGGCCTCAGGCAGAAGTGACTTCTTGTGCTTTCCCCCCATACCTTGATTGGCCTGGGATGGGGGAGTGTGAAAATTCTTCCTCCTCCTGCCCCCTAGAGAGAAATGCCAGCTGTTTTAAAACATGGCGGAAGTTGGAAGACCCAGACAGGTTCCCCTACTTTCCCCACAGCCCCGTACGCTGCTCAGGAATGCAGCTGCCGGGCGCTTTCTCTTTGAGTGTGGAGGGAAGGGGGGGAAATTCAGATGCTACTCCCACTCCAAGCACAATCCTATTGGCCAGTTTCTGGGCAGAAACTAGCCAATGGGAGCTGCCTTTTTGAATAACAGGCAGCCACCCTCCTGCTCACTTGCTCAGGTACATAGCCGAGCAGGCAAAAACATTTTAAGCTCTGCAAGCAGGCAGGCTGGTTTGGCTGCTAACTGGTAAGTCTCCTGGCCAGAACCTACCTCTAGCACCCCAGCCCCTTCCTTCCCCAACCCTCTGCCTACCCCCTTCCGCCCTGCTACTCCACATGCCCTCATACCCTCTCCCAGATGTGGCACCCCCAATCTCCTGCCTGAGATCACAATCCCCTCACCAGCATGCTGGGCTGGATCCAGCCCACAGAGGGCCCTTTCCCACCCCGTCTTAATCTGATCTCACTTAAACTGGTGTAAATCAGTAGATTTACACAGAAGCAAAACTGTTTTGAGATCTTAATCAGACCTTTAAGATATATATTTTTCTTCAAAGATATCTCTGTTATAATATTTTTAAATCATGTGTGAAACTTTTTTTATTAACCATCAAAACCAAATATTTGCCCCATAAAGAAAATGAAGTTACTTTATTTTTCTAATTGTTATTCTTATGTAAAATCCAATTAAAATCAATGCATCAGTTATTATCTTGTAATATTTCAGCACAGAATAAATTTAAAATGGCACCCAATTATAGTGATGTAGAGTTTAGACACTGCACACCCAGCTGTAAATTGCAGTGTAGACCATGAGGCATGGCTTGAACAAGTACTACAGACCTCTACACTCCCAAGCAGTGCCTCTCAGGGCATCTGTATGGCTATAACAATGTTCTGCTACCTCCCCTTTGCCAGAGACTTTCCCTGTTGTCTCCATGCCAGCCAAAGCCTCTCACTATAACATACAACCATATACCACAGTGCCAAGAGTGAACACAGCCATTCACTGCAATGACCAGCTATATGTGTAGCTCTTATACTCTACACACCACCATAGAGTGGACATAATTAAGACTAGTTTACAAGAAAATAAAATGAGAAAGGAGGGGGCGGGTCTATTTAAGCAGCATTTTTTATTGTAGAATCATAGATTCCTGAGGCATCATGACTGCTTGATTTTATATTGCTAGATTATAAATTCTCTGGAGCAGGGACTGTCTGTTTGCTGTGTGTTTGTATAACATGTAGCACAGTAACACAATGGAGTTCTTGTCCATGATTGAGGCATCTAGGCATTTCTATAGGAATGTCAATGTGGATTATTTGTAAACCTATAGCTGCTGATTTTTTCAGTGGTTACACATTTACACATGGGTAGGGGAAAAGGCGGATCCATGTGCCCCTACCCTGCTGCCTCTGTATCAGAAGCAGCAGCAGAGGGGTGGGGTGGGGCATGCGGCTCCATGGGAGTCGGTACATGCAGGGAGCCCTGTAGTGGCTCCTGCCTGCCCCCCTGTGCTGCTGCCTCTGTATCCAATGCAGTAGCGTGGGGTGGGGACGGTGGTGGGCAGGGAAGGCAGCTCCCTGGGAACTAGTGCTCACAGGGAACTTGCTCAATAGATGGCTCCACGCAGATACTGTTTCCCACCTGCTTCACCCCCTGACACACACGCTGCTGCCTCTGTTACAAAGACAGCAGTGAGCAGGAAGGCTTGCTTGTAACTGTGAAGGTTAAATGATGAGTCCAGACTAGTGTGTACACTATTACATAGTTATATAAATGCAATACTGTGATAACTACTAAACTTATTTCAGTTCTGTTTTTTTTAATTATATAAGCAAAATGATTTTAGATGTGTCATGGCTATTAACTTTTTCCTTTTTTATTTTATGTTTTTAGAATTAAGAAAAACCAGTGATGTTAACTGTTGCTTATCTATAAAATCAAAATTACAGAGGGAAAATGGAGAGGTATGGTATTGCTTTTTTTAATGAAATCCTTGTACATATGTTCATTGGAAGGTAGAGTTATAAACTACAAAATATAACCTAATTTTCTTTGCATTTAATTTGTTAAACGCTGCGGTGAAATTCTGGCCTACTGAAGTCAATGAGTCTTTTGCCATTGACACCAAAGGTGCCAGGATTTCACTCTAGACATACACAAAGAATCTGTAGTTTTGCAAAGATGCTGTTAAAAATGTGCTGTGTTGTCAGTCTAGGACCACTGAACCTTCCCCTTGGCATGGACTCTTCCTGCCTTAAAACTAGGGATGTTAAATATCGGTTAATTGAATAGTTGAGTAACATTATGAATTCTTATCTGTTAGTTAACTATTAGATAGTCCCTGGGGACGGGGTCGGTAGCCACTGAATCAGAGGCTGCAGTTCAGGGTGTCAGGCTGGAGTTGGTCCCCAAGGGGAACCAATTTAAAAACCAGCTCCCCTTGTGAACTGGATGCCTGTTGCCCAGTGCTCCTGCCTCTGATAAAGGGGCAGCAGAACAGGGTGGCAGCAGCCCCTGTCCGAGATGGGTCTGAACTCTTGGACCCGGCATGAGCTAGAACTGAGCGAGCCTGCCTGGCTCCTAATACACTTTAAATGCAGAGTCGCAGCAGGAGGTCAGGCCCCGGTGCAAGCCAGAACTGATCTGGGCTGCTGGCCAGCCTGCTAAAAAATGTACTGGCAAGGTTGGCGGGAGGGAAATGCTTGTAGTCTATAGCATTGACCTATCAGCTTTTGCATATCGGTTAATTGACTATACTATTACGTCCCTGCTTGGAAGTGCAAATGTGTGAGAGAAACTGGTCACAAAGTAATTTTCTCCTAACTTGACCTTATGCACAGGACCAGATGTTTCAAATATTAGCTTTGTAGCTTAGTGCTTACTAATGTGAGGGGTAACTGTCCCATTAAAATCAATTGACCTGTTTATGTCAGTGTGAACGGTAACTTCTTTTTGGAGTATCAGGCCCCATGATTTCACTGTATAATTTAAACTTTGTTTCATAACTAGGTCTGATCAAGTACTAACCTAGTTTAAAAAGCACATTAAGGTGACGTCTTCGGTAAAAATTTGGAAAAAATTCACACTGGCAGAACCTTAATTATCAAGCGTAGTGCTTATGTTACAATATTCCTGTCACTGTAATCACAGGACTTAAGTACTCTGTGACAGAAGAGCCAACAGAATTGCCAGACCCCTGTGCCAGGTGGGGGAGGTGCCAGCTCCATGCTTCTGGAAGGTGTGGGACCTTGGGGTGGAAGCATAGTCTTGAACTGTAGTCTGTATTTGGTTGTAATGATTTACTGTTCAGATGATTTATACTGAAATAGAGGATAGCTCTGTTTCAGTTAGGTTTTTTGTGTGGTTGTGTTTTGTAGTGATAAGCCCTTATTTAATATAATAAATCACAGTGGAAATTTTTGACTTACACTATTACAGAATTTTATTCAGTGATCTTTAAAGCTCAGAGAACGAAGAAATAATTTTTTTTTAAATTACATGCATATAGATTCATTTTCATGATTAAATATTTGAGATAGATTTAACTTTTCATGACAAAGAAATTGAACTTTTTATAAATTTTAAATTGATCTAAGATCCAAATAAGGTATTTATTTAAGAAATCCTGTTAATGAAGATCTTAACATCTACCTTTTCTGTGAGCCAGACTTTCATAGTCTATTTCATTGTGTGATTATGTCATATAGGATGGGTTTATCACTCTTTTAGTTTCATCTCTCTTTGTTTGTGGTGTTTGTGTGTTTATTTTGTTTATATTTACAGCATGCTTCTCCTGGAGATAAAGTTATTATTAGGCAAAGGGTGTCAATATTTTTGGGAGGGTTTTTCTTCAATAATATAACAGGAAAAAGTCTTAAAATTGCTTTGAAATTGGCTGAAAATGTGATTTTCACTCTCTATATACATATGCACAGCAAATATAATGATTTTAGAGGCAAAGATAAGGAGATATGATTAGTATATGAGGCCACAGGAATTGGTGGCAAAAGTGTATCTGACTTCCCTAAATCTTTAAGATTAAAAGGGAAAATATGTTCAGTTCACAGAGTTGATTTCTGGTCATGATGGATATTTTGTGACTCCTGTGAATGCAAAATGTGAAATAGATAAAGTGTGGTTCAAAGAGGAGAACCTGATTTTATCAGATACTCAATTTATGCAAGCTTTGGTTAGCATTTGGACTGTGACTGACAAATGGATTATGTGAAAACAAGGAATAATTTCCTTAAACTTTTGAATGGCATGAAACAGGGACTAAAGTGATAAAAGAGCACTTTTCTATGAGTTTTTCCTGTTGTGAGTATAAATTAATTATTTTCACATAATTAGAAATTAATATTATGATATCAAATATGTGTTTTTGTTTCTGAAAAATTAATATGCATTATTCTAATGGATTTAACAGAATACAGTAGATTAATACCCTGTGGATAGGGCCCTACCAAATTCACAGTCCCTTTTGGTCAATTTCACACTCATAAGATATTTCATTATTTCAACTATTTCATATTTCAGTGTTGTAAATTGTAATCCTGACCCAAAAGAAGTTGTTGGGGGTTGCAAAGTTGTTGTAAGGGGGAATGCGATGCTGTTATCTTGACTTCTGTGCTGCTGCTGGCAGCAGTACTGCCTTCAGAGCTGGGCAGCTGGACAGCAGTGGCTACTGGCCAAGAGCCTGGTTCTGAATCCAGAGCCACTGCCAGCACCACCATAGAAGTAAAGATGCCATGGTATGTATTGCCACCCTTGGTTCTATGCTGCTGACGTCAGAGTGGTGGTAGCTGATTGAGGTCCTAGCTGTGCAGTTAGCAGCACAGAAGTGAAGGGTAGATTGGTTTGATATTGCCACCCTTACTTCTGTGGTGCTGTTAGTGGGCTGTTGCCTACAGAGCAAGCACCAGGCCATCAGCCGCCACTGACTTGCTACTGTGCTCTGAAGGCAACACAGAAGTAAGGTTGACAAATACCACAAGCCCCCTAAAATACTCTTGTGATCCCTGCAACTCCCTTTTGCGTCAGAATCCCCAGTTTGTGAAACACTGGTCTCCCCCATGAAATCTGCATAGTATAAGTAAAAAGTACACAAGACCAGGTTTCAAAGGTGGAGACCAGATTTCATGGCCACGGATTTGATAGGGCTCTAACTATGGGGACATGGTTGAATTTTTCCATTCATTGGTTGAATTAGGCCCAGGATTCTCTTGCTTAAAAGCTACTAATGAAAACTCTAACTGAAGTGTGTAAAGTGTTTATTTGTAACAAAAATAATTACAAAAAGAAGAAACCCAAATGTTATTCTCCTTTTTCATTTCCTAATGTTTGTTTTTTTAAATAAGGAGTCGAGGCACAATAGTGCAGTTGAAGAAGATTCTGAAGGAGATAATGATTCTGAAGAGTTTTATTATGGGGGACAGGTAAGGGAGCACATTTTCCTATCATTTTAGAGTTTCAAACAGTGTCATTTGAAGGCTTCTGAAATTATTTATTTTGTATTTTATATTGGTCTTCAAATTTGTGCAGTTGTAAGGACAAGAAAACTGATTGTAACTCGGCTGTTTTTGAAAATGGGATGCATTTTATGGCTTCCGGGAAATAACTGTTCAATCTGTTAAGCATATAGCCTATTAACATGAATGGAAACAAAATAGGGCTGTAAACTGTTATGCATTGCAGTTGTCATCTGGTAAAAATAACAGAAGTGCATTTTGACAGTAAAAACAGTAGCTACAAAACTCTTATGAACAGTAAATTTTCTGTTTTCTGAGCTTGGTAGTCTAATTCACCTAGTCCTAATCTCTCCTAGGCCTGGATTACTCTAAAGGGGAAATTCGACTTAAGATACGCAACTCCAACTACGTTAATTACGTATCTGGAGTCAAATATCTTAAACCATGTTTTGACACTATCCACACAGCAAGAGGTTGACAGGAGCACACACTTCCGCCAACTTCCTTTACTCCTCATGAGGAGCAGAGCTACTGGCACCAATGGGAGCTCCCTCTCAGTTTGAATTAGCAAGTCTCCACTAGCACCATGGAGAAGTACCCCAACTGTTGATTTTCCCACCCTGAAATGGGTCCCGACTGAGTGGTAGCTGTCTGGCATGGCAAGCTTCCAGAGGGCAATAGCCACGTGCTTCTGCACGGTCAGAGTGGGGCTCATGCAGATATCCTGTCACCTCAGGGCAGGAGTGAACCATTCGCAGAGTTCCAGGAACATGTCCTTGTGCATGTGGAAGTTCTGCAGCCACTGCTGATCATCCCATCCTTGCATGATGATGCGGTCCCACCAGTCTAGTCTCGTCTCCTGTGTTCTACTGTGTCCAGGGTATTGAATGGTGGCCACAGTAGTATGAGCACCAGGACTTGCCTGAGCAGGGCCTCCAGGCCATCGTGAAGTTCGTCCGCCTGCTCTTTGTCCTTTTCCTGTTGGCACAACGTGGGGCACTCTCAGAGTACTGAATCATGTGGTGCAGCACAAGAGCCATGAGCTCTTTGCTGCTTTGCAGCACCTGGAGCTCTGTGCTCGTAGTGCTGTGGCATCCGTACAGTAAACCAGGGCACAAAAAGGCATGCACACACTGTGGCTCCTTTATGTCATGAAAGCGGGGAGTGGGAGTAGAGGAGCTTCCTGGGATGTGTCTGACAGGAACCCCTGTAAGTACCCACTGTCGATTTTTTTTTTTTTTTTTTGACCCAGCAGACACTGGAAGCTTAACCCAGACTACCAAACTCCTCATGGTGTGTTCTTGCTGTCTGAGTCAGCAGTACGCTCCATAAATGTGGACACGCTACCTCAGAGAATATTCAATTCTTGCCTATATTGGGGACGCAGACCCTCACCTTCTCAACATCGGGTGCCCAGAAATCTTCCATAGTAGATTGGAGCTTATCTCGTAATGTAGATGTGCCCTAAATGACTTACTCTATTTTCAGCGGGACTGGGGACTTGTCTACATTAACAATTCATTCATACTAAGATGGGGTGTGAATTTATCTAAATTAGCTTGCTGCAAGCTAACTGTCTGGGTATGTGAACACTGCTGACATGCAGTTTATTAATGTGTTTTGATGTAGTTCTCTTTGAAATGGGATTTAAGAGTTACTTTCCTAAATCACTTAAACACTTTTTAAAGAGTTCTGTTGTTGTGTTGGGACACAAAAATCTATATCACGGCTTGGCTTAACTGCTGCGACTATCTCGCCACAATCCTTTCAGATATGTCAAACTTATCAGATCTTTTATTTTTTGGACCTTTATAACTTATGCTTGCTTTGTATGAGAGTCTTTGTGAGCACTTCCTTTAAATCTCTGGATGAGCTAACGATTATGTCAGTAACTGGAGAGAGTGATGGGTCCTAGTTTGTTTGGGTTTTTTCCTTCTTGAGAGAGAAAGGTGTAAGGCGGGAGTCTTGCTATCCTCACCTTACCCTGTCCCTGAACACTGATTCTGTCTGACTGAGCATCATCATCCATTTTTCTTTCCCTGTTTTAGGTCCTAGCTTTTGTAGCACAAAGGATAGGAACAAGACTCCGTCGAGAGCTATGCCTTCCATCTTTGACCAGAATAAGTTAGCGAAACACAAGCTCAGATCCCTCCCTTTCATAAATGTTCTCAGTACATCTGGTAACCTTTTGCTGCTACATGCTAATGAGTTTCAGATGGGCATCAGATTCTTTGATTAATTCTAAAGGTGGTCAGATTATCACAGGCTAATTTTCACTTCTAAAAGGGGATTGGACAGGTAGGCTACATCTAGACTGCAAGCCTCTTTCGAAAGATACTTTCGAAAAAGCCTCTTTTGAAAAAAAAAAGTCTAGACTACAACCAGTACTTTTGAAAAGGCAAGCCGCTTTTTCAAAAGAGCACCCAGGCAGTGTGGATGCTCCGTTTCAAAAGAGCACAGTTTGCATTACATAGCGCCTTTTTTTTAAAGAACTTTCGAAAAAAGGCGTTCTTCCTCGGTCAAAAAAACTGCGGTGTTCTTTTGATTTACTTTCGAAAGAGTGCAGCAGTAATCTAGACACAGGACTTTTTTTTTTTTAAAAGGACACTTTTTCGAAAAAACCCTGTAGTCTAGACACACCCGTACTGTTTATTGCAGTTTCAATGTGCATCTCTAAATGTCAAACTTGATAAAGAACCCTGAATCTCAGAATTAGAATCCTACTATATATGATGTACAAATCAAGGGCCCATACTGCCATCAGTTATAACGAGTGTAACAACAACTGTTGTCAGTGCGAATTTTACATAGATATTTGAAAGGCAGAATTGGATTCCAGTGCTTCATTTTTTTGCCTTTCACAGTGCCTTTCACCTACCTGGCTGGGGAACCCCCGGTGGCAGCAAGACTGTCTGCGGTTAGGTGACCCCAGCTGGGAACCCTGGGGAATACTCTGTGCCAGTGGGACTGGCAGCAGCTGAATAGTCCCCACTGGGAACCCCTGGAGACCCTGGAGAAGGGGGTGGGGAGCCGTGACAGACTAGCTTTAGCAGGGCCAGTGGTAGGGCAATGAGCCCCAGGGAGAGGAGCCTAGGATGAGGGCAGCCAGCAGGAGAGCACTGGCCTCTCTTGGTCCAGCAAACTTCCTAGTCCAGGACAATTCATGTCCTGAGGGTGCTGAACCAGGAAGGTCCAACCTGCAATCCAAATCTGGAGAAACTGACTTCTATAAAATTACTTCGGATTTAAACAGGACAGTGTGGTTACACCAGTTATAGGCATTCACTATAACTATAAGGCTGTGTCTACACTGGCATCCCTTCCAGAAAAGGGATGCTAATGTAGCACTTTGGAATAGGCAAATCCGTGGGGGATTTAAATTTAAATTTCAAGTAGGAATAAGATATCCTCTGGAAAAGGCTTTATTTTCCGGAGAATCATGTCTAGACTGGCGCTTTTCTCCGGCTTATCTCCAAGCCGGAAAAAAGCGGCAGCCATGTTAATGCAAATACCGCGGGGGATATTTAAATCCCCCGCGGATTTGCCTATTCCAAAGTTCTACATTAGCATCCCTTTTCCAGAAGGGATGCCAGTGTAGACACAGCCTAATAGTATAGATTACAGTATTTTTTTCCCAAAGGAAAATACACAATGTGTCATTTTAAAGGTATCTAGTATCTTTATAGCGTATGGATAAATATAACTTATTTGGACTCAGGGCGGATTGATTTAAATCAACAATGGGGAATAAGTTCAAATTAAGATATATAATTTCAGCTGAGTTAATTATGTAGTTTAAGTTGAAGTATCTTAACTCGTATTTTGGCACCATCCACACTGCAGGAAGTCAAAGGGAGCACACTCTCCCTTTGACTTCCCTTACTTCTCATAGAAGCAGGACTAAGAGCATCTAGGGGGAGCGTCCTCTCAGTTTGAATTAGCATGTTTTCACTAGACCTGCTAATTCAAATCCTGGAAGATCAACTGCAGCTGCTTCGATCTTATCTGTAGTATAGACATGGCCCAAAAAAACTCCATTGATGATTTAAATCAAGTTTCCCATTGATACTTGTTCACCTTTCTTCAAACAATGCTGCAAATCAGACCACTAAAAAATGTTAATTTACAGCTCGGTACAGCATTTTACAACATCTAAGGGTATAGTCTGTGTAATTTTTTTAGATAACTTGATTTTTATTAATGCTCATTATCTGTGTCCAGCTGCAGATGCAGCAGCAGTACATTAAGAATGGTAATAACTAATCATGCATTCAAACACAATAGCCCTTACATTTTATTAAACTGAATCTTAAATGTGACATAAATGTTTCACTTTTGCAATTGCAGCAGTTGCTTGAGTTGCCAGCTGATGACTGTTCTTAAACTCTTTTTTTTTAAATTTTCAAATTTTATGAACTCTAACAGACAAGTCAGAATACTAAATGCATAGTGTCCTTAAAACTTCTACAGCTCTCATCTTCCCCACTCCCACTGTCATTTTGATTTAGATCTGATTCGAAGTTACCAAAAACGCTAAGACAGATTGTACTTCGAGTGCACTTAATTTTGAAGCCCCATTGAAAACTCTAGATTTCTCTTACTGAAGCTTTGTGTCCTGCATCCTTGGGTGATAGATTCTAAACCTGATTAACAAATTAAACAAGCAATAAGGATTAACTAAGGGCATGTCAACACAGCAGGGCTAAAGCCGAAATAAGCTACACACCTTGAGCTATGTCAGTTGCATAGCTTCAGTTGAAATAGCTTATTTCAGTTTTTGGCGCTGTCTACACAGTAGGAAGCCTGAGAGAACACTCTCGGATAAAGGATACCCTGAAGGACAAACAGGGTGGCACACATTCCTCTCCACTCTTCCAGGAAGCCCTTCACTTGTAGGACTTGTGCCTTGTGCATAGTACACTCCATTCACTGGGAGATGTCTTACCTCCATGGAGTTCAGAACCAGCTGGCAGATCATTGCAGTAGGTGGTTCTTCACTCATGAGTGGTCACTTCAACCAGACATTCTCCTCAACATTTTCCAATGGTGGAGGTTTCTCTAGTTAGACCTCTTCACAACTCAGAAGAACCAGAAGTGCCAATGCTTCTGCTCATTCTGGAATCTCCACCAGGGTCAGTAGTGTATGCATTCCTGGTTTTGTGGCACACTGGCCTGCTGTATGCTTTTCGCCCATTCTGATTTGTCCACAAGGTACTCCTCAAGCTCTGCAGGGACAGGACAGACATCATCCTGATATGCCCGCACCTAGGGCCATCTGTATTAGTACCCCATGCTCCTACAGCTTTCGTTACAACCACCAATCATGCTTTCCCTAGTGCTGGATTTCATCATGCAGGACCACAGGTTTCTGCCTCACTTGGACCTATGCTCGTTTCACCTAGTGATGTGGTGTCTCTATGGTTGAACCCCACTGAGCAGGCTTGCTTGGAACAGGTTCAGCAAGTTCTCCTCTGGAGCTGGAAACTTTTTACCAAACTCATGTACCTAGCAAAATGGAAACAATTCTCATGCTGGTGCCTGCAGCACAACTAGGACCCCCTTTTTTTTTTTTTTTTTACTTTCATTCCTGAGGTGCTTGACTACCTGGTATCTTTGAAGAAGCAAGTCTAATGACGTCTTCCCTTTGTATGAATGTGATGGCTATCTCTGCCTTAAACCCAGCTGAAGCAGGCCACACTTTTTTTGAGCCTCCTAGTAAGGCGCTTCCTTAAGGGATTGGACAGGCTCCACCCTCCACCTTGGAGGTTTCCTTGCCCCTGTTTGGGACATCAACCTCATCCTCTCTATCCTCACGGGTCCACCATCTGAGCCTTTAGCTATGTGGTCACTTCTCTACCTGTCCTGGAAGGGGGTCTCTGAGCTTCATGCCCTAACTTCAGAACCTTTGAGCACGGTCTTCCATAAAGCTTCTCCCTCATCTGGCTTTTTCCCAGAAAGTGGTTTCCAGATTCTACACTGGGCAAGTTATCTTTCTTCCTGTGTTCTACCCTAAACCTAATCAGAATGCATGGGAATAGCACCTGCACTCCCTTGATGTGAGAGATGCACCAGTGTTCTACATCGAAAGGAACAAGCCTTTTCATAAGCCATCATAACTGCTCATAGTTTTAGCTGATTGAGTGAAGGGACAACCAGTCTTGTCGCAGCATATCTCATCATGGATCACTGAGTGCATTTTTATGACCTGGCCAATATCCCTTCGCTACTGCTCACTGCACACTCCACACAAGCAGAGGCATCTTTGGGGACATTCCTGACTCATATACCCCTCCAGAAAATCTGCAGAGCTGCAACTTGGTCTTTGGTATACACCTTCACATTGCAGTATGGCATGTTGCAACAGGCTTTTAATACTGTGGTTCTAGAGTTAGCTAGACTGTGACTTTGACCCTGTCCTTCAGGATAATGGCTTGTGAATCACCTAATTGGAATACATGAGCAAGTACTCAAGAAAAAACGGTTACTCGCCTTTGTAACTGTCCTTTGATATATGTTGCTTATGTGTTGCTTATATCTAGTCCATACTCACCCTTTTTTCCCCCACTGTCAGAGTAGCTGGCAAGGAGGAACTGAGGAGTCTTCGGTTGGCAGGGTTATATATAGAGCATCACACCGGCGGCAGAGGGATCCACAACCAACCTGATAGGTAGTAGATAGGGAAAAACTTTCTGACAGCCGTGTACGTGGTGTGCACCCACCTAATTGGAATAGATATGAGCAACACATCTTGACAAACAGTTACAAAGGTGAGCAACTGTGGGGGGTTTTCCAGCAACATCCAAAATAGCTCTGAATTTACTTGTTAAATCACACTTATACTAAAAGGTATAGAGAGTCTTAAAGAGCGAAGCATTGCAGAGTTGATCCACATTGTTCTTCAGACATATCCATATCTTCATCCACATCATTTTCTCCCAATAAGCAGCTTTCTTTATTATGTTTCATCCTTGCAGGTAGGCCCCCAATTTCTTTTGACACGGCTTACACTTGACATGTTTTCCTTTTTTACTCAGGGAACACATTTCTTCAAAATATTCCCAAAAGAGTGTCTTTTACACCTTAAAGCCATAACACTTTTTCTGTGGCAAAAGTGTAGGAGATTATGGGAAGCTGTGTTTCTTTCCAATACTCCACTGTACCTTTTTATTCCACCTCCGTCCTTTCCTGTATATTGGCTTTCTGTCTTTAGACAATGTCTTAATTAATTTTGCTGTGCTTGGCCCAGGTCCATCACCACATAAGCACAGAATAAAAACAATCCTATCCAGCTGGTGTCTGTCTTTGCACATGTTAGGCTGCTAAGAAGCAGAAATTGAAGACACAGTACTTTCAAGAAGCAAGAGCTGGTTATTAGGCTGGACAAACTAGAACCATTAATTCATTTTTGAGACTGTAAGTGTAGGTGTAGCATATTTGTGATAAGATTTAATTGTAACTGTTATTTTTTAAATGAAAAATTTGGTATTGTATTTTTTTTAATAATTAAACAATCCATTTTAAGTAATAATATTTTTTTATTTTTAAAAAATCATCGATTTTTTTAAATCCACCCTGTTTAGAGTTCATACAATCTAATTTTATTCTATGTTCTTAAACTTCCATTGATGGTTTCTTTGTTCCATTTGAGGTGGAGGTATGCAATGATACATTTACTACTGTTGTATATCATTCATACATTTACTACTACTGTATATCATTCACATGTTTTCAAGAGGAATAATAAAGAAAGAAGATTATCCTGGGTCATGTCACTTTTCTCTATACAGTTTATAGTATTGTAGGCTATCAGTAAAAATAACAAAGTGATTTCTGAGTCTGAGTTCCATTGAGTTCTAAGTTACTTAAGTGCTTTTGAACATTATCCCTAATTAATCATTTTTAGGTGATTTGATTTCCTTGTCTCGTGATTTTTATCTTTTTTGTTTTTAAAATGAAGTGGTTTTCAATTGGAGACGTATTAACAAGTAGAGTTATACAAATCTAGGAAGAAAGGAGGACTTCAGTGAGGCCAGGATTTCACCCTGTATTTTTGGGTAGTTTCCATAGAACCCCATAAATCCATCCCTATGAAATATGATAGGACTTTTCCATAAGGAATATGTAGTAGTTTATAACTACTACTGCTGCTATTTGTATTACTGCGGTGCTTAGGAACCTTAGTCAGAGACCAAGACCTCCTTGTGCTAAAAACCCTATGTAAACAACTAAGGATTTACAATCTACACATAAAACAAGAGTAAACAGATAATGAAGGTTGGAAGGGGGAGTATAAGGAAACAATGAGACAACACTGGTTAGTACATTAAAGAAGTCTCAGCATGCCAGAAATCTAACAGTTTTTTGTGGGCATCATGCCGTTTGAAGGAGGACAGTGAGGAGGCTCTGCCAGTTTTTGAACTTTGTGTGAATTTTTCCAGTTTACACACATTTTGCAAATTTCTTCCTCTCCTATTGCAGACAAAAATAAAATCTGTCAAATGTTAATATGCTAAATAACTCCCCAGCAAACTGGCTTTAGAAAAGGAAATATTTAAAATGAAACCTTCACTTTTTTGATAAAAATGCTTTTTTGTCAATTTTTTCTTTCCTTTTTCAATATGGACTTAGTAGCAACTTGTGTTTTAGTACAGTGTTATGGCAAACTTACCGTCAATGGAACATGGAGGCATACAATGGAACAGAAAAGACCAGAAGACGCTTACAAAACAACTTGAGTAACACCTGCATATTTGCAATTAGAATACTATGAAAATGTTGTTACTAGTAAAAAAAAAAATACCCATCATATTACATTTTTTCTGCAGGTGAACTATGATGGAGAGCTTCACAAGCACCCACAACTGGAAGCTGATTTGATAGCAGTGAGAGAGATCTATGGGCCTAATGCAGTATCTCTCAGGTACATCCTTTTATTGGGTAAAATTCTTGTCAGATCTGTGTCTGGAAAAGGGACAGAAAATTGGTAATCAGCATCAGAAGCATGAGTTTAGGGAATGGAAGCTAGTTAGCTGTATTCTGATATCTTTGACACATTGCAGATAGTCCTCTACAGAAGGTCTTCATCACAAACTATTCAAATGGTCATAACCTGCCAATTTCTTAGAGGGAACATTTATATCAACTAAAGGAAAGAGAGTGAGAATCATAAGCTAGCAGTGATGATTCTGAGCTTTGCTTTTTAGTGTTGTTGAGCTTGCTAATAATACAGCTGCCTATGCTCAGAACAATTTCTTAAGGCATAATCTTGCAAACATTAAAGTTAATGAGAGCACTGTTTTTAATTTTAATGGGGACAGGATTTGGCTGTTGTATTTTGATTAAAATTACTGTTAATCATAATTTAACTTAAATATGTGTTGCTCTGTCATGTAGGCCAAAATGTAGTAGAAGTTATTATCATTATTATTGTTATTTCAACCAGTAGGCAAGGTTTAACAAATTTGATTGCATGGTGATGGGGCAAATGTAACCCTGATAAGCTGAGACAAGAAATAAAAAACGACACTGGACTGTATGATCATTTTACATATAGTCCGTATAACAATTTTAATTAATCTATAAAATGTTTATTATTTTATCCTAAGGAAAGGGATATTGTTTAAACTAAGTTATGTAGTGCTGCTGAATAATGTTCCCATTTAATTTTTCAAGTGTACATTTTAATTGCATATATTTAATTCTTTGGATGATGTTCTTAAAAGAAAAAAGTCTTCATCATATGCCGTTTGAAGTTAAGTGGAAATTCATTAGATTTAAAGGACATTGGAAATTCAAATCCAAGCGGTTGTACATGACTTAAGAAATGAATGAGATAATCATTTAGTTGAGAGACTGTTAACTGCTGCACTGTGTAAAACTCTGCATACCTTTGTAATATGTTCCCCTGGGCACTTTACATTACAACAATGCATATAACCTTTTAAAAATGTTAATGCATTTAATTTATTGAATAATCTGCTACGTTGTGGGCTATGCCATCTCTTAGGGATCAATTCATTAGAATTTGGCATCTGTTGTTGCTTCTGGGATGTGGAATACTTTTGAGCCTCTTATGCTCTTCAGCAGTGGAGAATGCCCATAATAAATCTTTGGCAACTGCAAAATGCAATATTAGGCATTCAGGTTCATTCTCTCCTCTAGTTCTGACTGCACCAATTCCAATTGACAGTGACATTGGGAGCACCCACTTAATGAGAATTTATGTACACAGCTGTTTGGAGGAGCTTTCCGATATTGGTAGATAGATGTATACTAGTTCTGCTCTGGATAGCCTGCTAAAGCCAGAAGTGTGGTATATTGTGGGATCCTCATCACTGAGCTTTGTATGCTCGAAAGAAGCAAACCCTTCACACATTGTTTATTTGTCACATGAACCAAACCATTCAGAGTCCATTCAAATTGATAATTAAGGGACTAGCCTCCTGAAAGTTTGTTTGAAAACTCTCAAGAGCTGCACTATTACATCTGTACAATGGGATGACACCTGCTCCAGCCTCATTGTAGATTGCAGTAGGAGAAGTATTTCCCAGCTCTGGCATTTTATTAGGTGGGAAAGCCCTAAAATCCCTTATGAAGGGGGTGAGAATTTGAGAGCATTAAAATCCGTTGGTTGTACCCTTTATTATACCCTCTTATTTTACTCTGCCTATGGATGTTTTGCTGTTTCACCTATATTTTTATTTAATGTTGGGATTTTGCTCTAAGGCCCAGTCCTTGAACACTCACTTTCTTGAGTAATATTAGAACTTTAATAGTCTCAGTCAATTCCATGGTCTTGCTTGCATAAATAATTGCTCAGATTTTCAGGATTTGGCCTTTTGTTCTTTAATCAATATAATAAAAAATGTGAGAACTTTTGTGCTGTTTGCATTTTACTACATGTTAGAGAGCTTAGCTACGTGGCACACACAGTATTGAGACACCTTAACTTTAGGCCTCTTTCCAGTAGTGAGTTCCATGATACCAATACAGATCCAACTTCATAAAGCTCTGCTTTCATCAAGTTCATTGTAGAATCAACATTTGTGTCAATACAGGCTTAGACGAAGCTGTTGGGAAGTTGGGCATTTGCTCTATGAGCTGGTTCCTTCCCTTGCCTATAAGGTCAGTCTGCAGCATTAGGTTGGAAGTATATTGACAAAATATTTTCAAATGTTAGTTAAATTTTCAGTTTAATTATTGCAGTTTTGGGCCACTGTTAATTTTAATAGACTGGAGTGGGGGGAGGGACTTTCTTACCACCTGTAAGCATTGTCAAAAAGAAATCTATTCCATTTATGAGTGATAGCAAGCACTGGTCAGTTATGGTTTGAAGAGGGGCTGTTTCAGGAAATATCACAGCTGATGCTGCTCTAAAATGATATCCGCTTCAATAATTTAGAACATGGCACAAATTTTCTGTCTAATGTAAATGAAAGTTAATTGTTCTAGCCTGTATTTTTTAAGTGTTTGATACTCTGAGGAAAAATCACTGAAAAGAGGAAAAACATGAGAGGCAAATACAAAAGAAGAACCAGCACAAGCAAGCCAGTCCCATATTAAATGTGAAAGTTCAGGCACTTTAAAATACTCATATGCGTGAGTTAACATTCCACATTGGGGAGTCCAGTACTAACTTCATGTGGCAGATAATACAAACTAACACTGATCTTGACAACATTATGGGGTAGACTTTGAAGTTCAGTTATTCTTTAACAGTTTCTCTAAAACACTAGACAGACACTCAAGGTTTGTTTGTTTGGGGGGAGGAGGGAGGAGGTTCATCACAGCCATACCTGGCATCTTCATCTTAATTTTTATTTATGTTTCTAGTCACCATAGTTTGTAGATATTGTTTGTATATTAGAACGTTCCCAACTAGTTCTTAGTGTTTCCTAGAGCAGGATTGTGATTTCTCCCTCCCTCCTCTCCAAACTTTGGCTTGATTTTTGCATCCCTCTTCAGTATAGTAGTACCACAGAGAATCTGAGCTATATAGCTGTGCTATACCCAGTGTTCTCCATTACAAAGTATCCCATTACAATTCCTTTAAACTGTGCAGTCTCTCAAATGTGATTCTGTGTTATTGAAGTCTTGGAATATTATTTGCAGATGCTGATAGTTGATCCCTTTCAGTACAGCAAAAAATTACTCACTATGAAAAAGTTGGCCTAACCCAGTTATATGAACTTTTATATCCATTACTGATTTTATTCTTAATAAAAGCTTACCATGATGCTCTGTGGCTGAATAGTAGCTGGAAAGTAATATATTTTTTTTTTGCTTTCAGGGAATATGGAGCCATTGATGATGTAGACATTGATCTGCATATTGATGTTAGCTTTCTTGATGTAAGTAATCATATATATATTAACTGGCTCCCACACTACCTTCCACATCCTAATGACTTAAACAACCAAACAAATAATGGAGGTGCTCATTGTTCTTATCAACCCCTTGTAACTGTTTGAACCATCTACTCACTCTCTCTTTTTCCTCCCCTCTTTTTTTTTTCTTTTTTCCCCTCCTCCCCCCTTTCCTTATTTATTCTTGGAAAGTATTTTTATGTTTGATTCATTTATTTTAAAAAAAATCATCTGAGCTCTCCTGCAAATAGTGTAAAATCATTGCTGAAATTAAAATTGTATCCTGAACCTTTTAATTTTTTCAGATGACTGGAGTATTAGAAGTCCAGATTCAAGAATAAATAAGGGAAGAGGGAGGGGGAAAAAAGAAAAAAAAAAGAGGGGAGAAAAAAGAGAGAGTGAGTAGATGGTTCAAACAGTTACAAGGGGTTGATAAGAACAATGAGCACCTCCATTATTTGTTTGGTTGTTTAAGTCATTAGGATGTGGAAGGTAGCATGGGAGCCAGCTAATGTTCCTGTTCATACCATTTGCATAAGAATTAAACTTGTGACTGAAGTTAAGTTCCAACCCTTCTCTGTATATTTGGCTTGTGGAATTGGCCTGAAACAAAATGGTAATTTGGAGATCCATTAATGAGTGTCCAGGCAAATTAAAGTGTTCTCCAACAGGTTTTTGTGTAATGCCTTTTCAGATATCTGATTTGTGTCCATTAGTTCTTTCCCATAGAGACTGTCCAGTCTGGCTAACATACATTGCAGTGGGGTGTTGCTGGCATTTGATGGCATAGATCACATTAGTGGATGTGCAGTTAAATGAGCCTCTGATTTGGTGGCTGATGTAGTTTGGGTCCAGTGATGAAATCGCTAGTGTAGATGTTTGGGTTAATGCTTCTAGGAACATCATTAGCATCTGTACTGAAATCATTTCCCTGGGTAAATGTGGTACACAGGATGGTTCTGTCTTCCTCTGAACCCTCATGAATATCTGACTCTTCTGTGATGGAATTCTTTAGTCTCAGAGCAATGGGGAATATGCTATCTGGTTTCTTGTATCCCTCTAATGTGACACCAGTTGTATTTCCCACCCTGCTCACTCTTTTTTCTCTCCTCTTGAGATAGTATCTCCTAGTAGATGGAGCAGAGCTCAGGAATGCATAAACAGATAAAAATAATATCTTAGATGAGTATATTCCATTGAATGTTTCACCCTCACAAGGGTTGATTGACAAAATATAAACAGTTCCTGATTATGGCTAATGGTTTTTTTTCTATTTTTCTTGGATCAGGAAGAGATTGCTGTGGCTTGGGATGTAATCCGCACAGAGCCTATAATAGTGCGATTGCACTGTTCACTTACACAGTACTTAAATGGTCCAGGTTAGTCACATTTGTATTTTTCCTGTGCTGTGTATGGTGTCTTTAGTGTAGCAGATATATGTAGGAAAAAGAAAGAACCTGAAGTATGGGCCTAGTGTAAGGCCTGAGACCTGAACCAAAGTAAATAAGAGTTATACTATGAGTAACATAGTGATAGAAATGTAGCCGTGTTAGTCTGGTGTAGCTAAAACAAAATACAGGACTATGTAGCACTTTAAAGACTAACAAGATGGTTTATTAGATGATGAGCTTTCGTGGACCAGACCCACTTCCTCAGATCAAATAGTGGAAGAAAATAGTCACAGCCATATATAAAGCACTAGGACTACTAGCAATGTTAAAAACACAGGTTACATGTAAATACATTCCCCCAGGACAGTACAAGGACACCACAACTTAGCTCTCAATAAAATAGTTAGACAAAAAATGATGAATAGTGATATTTTGTTTGAAACATCAGGAGTGCAATCACAAGAACAGGTGCTACACTACAAAAATAAATCAGGAAAAGTAACAACCTTTTTACGATTTACTTTCAAAAGAGGCTTTTCTGAAGTTTGGCCCATCTACACAGGGCCAAATTTTGGACAAAAAACCCTCTTTCGAACATCCCTTCTTCCCTGTAAAACGAGGTTTACAGTGATGCTGACAAACATATCCGCTTTTTCAACTTTTTTTTTTCTTCCAGAAAAGCAGATGTGTTCCTTGGACATGGCAGAACTTTTCCAGGATAGTCTGGTATCCCGGAAAAGCTCTGCAGTCTAGACATAGTTGGAGAATTCTGCCCTTGAACAATAAAGATATTTTCCCAGTGAGTTATCTGGAAAAAAATAATGCACTAAGCCAATTCTTAGGGATTCTTGCAACTACTTTCTGCAAGCTGTATTTCATTAATTGTATCAGAATTTTACTTACGTGGTTGAGTTAGTGTCTTGTTTCACTACATCTTACTGTTTTAATAGTTGTTATAAATATGCATCTATTTATTGCAAATAGCTATTGTAATTTTATGTTAATATTCATTATTGTGCTAGCCAACTCCAATACAAAATCAAAGTTCTAATACACTCAGCAATGGAGGGTGAACACTCCAATCCGTATCCCTGGTTATCCTCTAGCAACACTATAAGTGACAATAAAACTTCTGCACTGCTGGCAAGGTTAAAACAAGGATTATAGGCTCCAATCCCACACCTAACTTTGTGCAGAAGCTCCCTTAAGCCTATATGTAGTCAATTGCAGGATCAGGGCAAGAGACATGTGCTTTGTCATTATTGATCTTACAAGTATATTGCAGTTGCTATTTCTGCCAGAGATTTTCAGTAAAAAAGAACAATGAGATCAATCTCACATTAATATAAGAAGGACTTTCTCTCTTTCTTGCCTCACCCTTTCCACATGAAACACTGTTCTGAGTAATAAATTATTACCTTCTGGTATATATATATTTTTTCTTTTGTGTCTGCCATTCACTTATGGAAGAAACAGATGTACCATATGCTCAAGGGGAGGTAAAATGTCTGGCTGCTGTTTCAGATGTGTTATACAGAATACAAGTGTCTTAAAACTTCTGTTCATATTTAGTACTTAGCCAGTACTACCTATGTGCTCTTTTCCATTTTTTATATCAATAGGCTCCTGTTTTAGGAATTTATGGAAAAATAAATATATGTATATTTGTAAAGTTGCCCAACATATGTCATTATAAGATCATATTTTCAGTTGCATATTATTTTGCCACATTTTAAATACCAAAACAAAATTCATTCAATAGAGTATAGTTTATGGATAGTGTTACCAGCAAAGGTGCACTAGTAAATGAAATTTAATGGGGCCTGCTCTGATTAGATGTTAAAATGCCTTTGTCCCAAGAAGGATGTCTGGCCTGGAAACCACTGTATCTGTCACCCCAGTCCCGCTGAATAAACATGGACACGTATCAGATTTAAATTTAAATAAAAGATGTATTGAAATACAACAGGCAAATAACAACAACACAACACCGAACTGATAACCCAGCCCCTCACCCTCTGAAATAAAAGAATATAGGAAAGATGACTGAAAGCAGAATGGTATACTTAGTCCGTCAGAGTTTGATGGTCAGGATCAGCTTTGATGGTCAGGATCTTCTACCCTTTAGCTTAAGGCAGCTGTCAGGGGAGGAACACTGAGGCGTCCTTGAGGGTTTGGAGAGACGCTTGGTTAGATGTTACTGCTGCTAGTACCATGGGCGGACGTGCAGTTTGTGGGTGATGTCAGGGTGGTTCTAGGCTCCGTGAGGGTCTTCACCACAGCAGGTGCCCAACGATGTTGATGCTCTGTGAGTCCCGCTGATGTAGGGAACAATCAGGTATCCGAGGCTCACTATTACTGGGCTATCACCACAGTGTGGGTTGAAGCACCCTGAGGGTGGCAGGAATGGAATGGGTAGGTCTGTCAGCTCGACTGGGCCTTCACGATGGTCTTCTGACTAGAGGTCTCTTTCTTCCGCAATGGTGTAGTAAAACTGCCAACCCGATCTCCTCAGGATTCTGGGTTTTATAAAGTTCGAGGCGGGAAAACCCTAAGCGTCTCTAGTGCAAAGCAGGGTGTAGGGCTGGATTCAAAACTAGAGTTGGGTGCAAACTTTCACACTGTGTGCAGCATCGTGGTAAAGTGTGCACAGCCATGTGCCGTGTGCAGATGATAATTTTGGTGGCAAAAGCTTTTCAGGTTCCATTTTGAATTGTCCCTCAGTCCACAAACTCCATTTTGAATCTGTTATCTATAGATGTTATAGTGTCCATATGGTGCACTGTTCAGGGTCAACAATAGAAAAGGATATTTTTCAATAATTCATTTATCTGGGCTAGGAGGAATACTAGAATTATTAAGAATGAGAGCCAAGGAGTTTCCATATTAAATTATATCACTGGTCCCTTAGGCCTGGGTGCTGAAGGTGCTTCCATACTCTGTGGCTTGAAGTGGTTTCCATCATATATAAGGGTACCATTTAGGGTGTGTGGGGGGGCAGCAGCCATGTGCTTTGGGATGAAGCTAGCTTTTTATCCCAGTCCCTGGACGCTAAGGGAGTGAGGGGAAAATGCTTACATCCATTCATTCTTCTCATATCTGGCTGGTGAAGGGAGCTCACCAGCACTTTTCCCTCATGGCTGTTGCTGCCCTTGCGTGCTCAAAATGACACCCTTAATCATATATAGGGTTTACTGGTTGGTTCAAGGGCTCTCGGCCTGCCCCTTCCTCCCCCCTCAAGTAGTGGAACCTTCATTTCCCCACCAAAAAGAGATTAAATGAGTAAGTAAGTCAGTAAGCCCTGACAATAACTCCCCTTATTTTGAAATAAGAAGTGGAGCATCCATACTTCTAAGCTCATTATTTCGAAATAAGGGGCCGGTTATTTCAAAATAATAAATCCTGCTTTCCAGGAGGAACTACACTTATTTCAAAATAGGTATTTTGAAATGGCAGTAGTGTGGACACTCCATTGCTGCTATTTCAAAATAACTCCCCAGTCATTCCAAGCAATTACTCTCCAGTGCTTCCTATGGCTCTAAGTCGAGGTAATGTGCCCACACTAAGGAACCCTGCCTGGGACTAATTTTGAGGCTTCCCTGTAGTGTGAACATTCTATTTTGAAATAGTTATTTCATGAGTTATTTCAAAATAAGTTATTTGGAAATAATTTCCTACTGTAGATGTGCCCTAAGTCTTTTGAAGGTGAAGTAGGGTAAGGCTCCCTACAAGAAGAGTTTTAAGACAGGGACAGTTTACTTTTGGAAATGATAGCCATGGCTAGAGATGGGTTGCTGAACAGGGAGGCCAATACTCTGAAATGGTACTGAGGAGGTTGGCTGGCTGGTTCTTACTTAGTCGTTCAGATTCCATACTGGCTCAGGCAACAGTACTGCGCTCATTCTAGTTTCCAAGTATAAATCAGAAAGGAATATTTCCTTTAAACATCAAATCACTAATACAATGAATATATCTCTGTGATAGTCTGTTTTAGCATGGCAGTTTGTGATTACGTATGTATATCACCAATGTCACATTTTCTGCAGTGCCCACCGTGGATGTATTTCAGATCTCTACGAAAGAAAGATTTGGGTTGGGACATCAGCTAAAAAAGTAAGTTCTGGAAGAATTGTAATATAATCTTGCTTAATGCCTTATTGTGATAACCATCTTATGTTAGTTCTTGCATTGTGTCAAGACACATTTAACAGATGGGTTGTAGCTCTCGTTGGGCCAAATAGCTCCTTAACTTCTTGTTCAGTTACAACGTTTTTTCTCCCATTTTCAAATTGCATTGACTGTGCGGACAAATAACTTCCAGGGTAATTCCTGTAAATGTTTCCCCTGCCCTTTACTGAAGTTTTGTGAATGGTATTGTCTAAAGTATGTGAAATCAAAGAGGATGCAGCTAAGAATCATAAAAGTGTAGGATTAGATGGGATCTCGGAAGGTCATCTGCACTCCAATCCCCTGCAGTCATGGAAGGACCAAGTTCCATGCAGACCATGTTTTATTCCATATGTCAACTTAGATTTTAAGCTCCAAAAGGCAGGTAGGCTGTTCTGGAAAATGCCTAGTGTAATGGCTCCTCGATCCCTGAGAAGTAACCTTGAAGGTCTACCACAAAAACTAGTAATAATCACTTGAGCACTGATTTTCTCAGGTCAGTAAGGCAGAGTAAGTAAAAACATTTAGCCGTTTCATGTAGCCAGTTCAAGACTTAGTTCATTTTAGTTAAAATTTTGATGATTCATCTTTTTGGAATTCTCATGATTAATATTAATTAATAATAATATTACTAAAATATCAAGCATGTAAATTTAAAGGTATGTCTAGACAGCAAAAACAACTCTGCAGTAATGAGACTCATAGCCCAGGCCAACTAACTTGGCTCATGGGACTTGCACTGCAGGGCTAAAAATAGCAGTATAGATGTTCAGCCTTAGGCTGGAGCCCTTAGTTCTGAGACTCCAAGTCTCTTGCCAGTTTTCAGAGCCTGGGGCTCTGTGCTCCAACATCTGCACAATTATTTTTAGCCCTGAAGCACAAGCCCAATACAGTTGACCTGGTCTCTTAGGGTATGTCTACACTACCCTCCTAGTTCGAACTAGCAGGGTAATGTAGGCATACCGCACTTGCAAATGAAGCCTGCCAGAGACGGTCTCCTACTGACACAACAAGGGGGAAAACGTTCAGAGCTGCTGCATGTGGCAAGCACACACACCTAAAATGGACATGAGCAAACACTAAAGATGAAGATCATTTTGTCTTCAAAATGAGGGGCCATGAGACCTCTGAGTATTCACATTTTTTGACTTAATTGCATACTTATGTAGATGTACAATCATAGATCTCTCCTTTGCTTGTCAAAATGCATTACACAAAAAAGCATTATATATGCCTTCTGTAAAGGGCAACTTTATTTCTTACTGGTTCTTTAAATACCTACCAGTGAAAGATTTCTTTATGGAATCAAATTGTCATTTTTTCAAGGTGCCAATATTTAGGGGTACATTTACACAACAAAATAATCCCCAAAGTGGTAACTCTGAGGGTATGTCTACACTACCCTCCTAGTTCGAACTAGGAGGGTAGTGTAGACATACCCTCAGAGTTACCACTTTGGGGATTATTTTGTTGTGTAAATGTACCCCTAAATATTGGCACCTTGAAAAAATGACAATTTGATTCCATAAAGAAATCTTTCACTGGTAGGTATTTAAAGAACCAGTAAGAAATAAAGTTGCCCTTTACAGAAGGCATATATAATGCTTTTTTGTGTAATGCATTTTGACAAGCAAAGGAGAGATCTATGATTGTACATCTACATAAGTATGCAATTAAGTCAAAAAATGTGAATACTCAGAGGTCTCATGGCCCCTCATTTTGAAGACAAAATGATCTTCATCTTTAGTGTTTGCTCATGTCCATTTTAGGTGTGTGTGCTTGCCACATGCAGCAGCTCTGAACGTTTTCCCCCTTGTTGTGTCAGTAGGAGACCGTCTCTGGCACCCCCTGGAGTAATGTCTGTTTGGCAATGTATAAGAGGCACTACTGCCACACGCACACACACCCCAGTTCCTTTTTACCACCAGTGACAGTGCTGGAATGTTCCTTTTTTCTAGTAAAGTCTTTTATCCAGTCCGTTTGTTGCAAACTGTCTACTGTAAATAATTACTAGTTAGTTTTTCCTCCCCTTGGTGTGTTAGATTTAGAGTTTAGGGACTTATTCTCGGAATGGGCATTTGAGACTTAAGAATTGTGACCTTTGTAAGAAACTTATGTGGTCAATGGTATCCAATTGTATTGGGGAGGTGTACATCATCAACAGATACCATTTGCAAAAGCTTTAAGCCTCTCTCTAAAAAAGGAATGGGACCTTTGTCTTAAAGCCTTACTAATGGGCTGTGTCTACATTGGCACCCTTTTCCGGAAAAGGGATGCTAATGAGACACTTTGGAATTGCAAATGCCGCGGGGGATTTAAATATCCCCCGCGACATTTGAATGAACATGGCTGCCGCTTTTTTCCAGCTCGGGGTTTTGCCGGACAAAAGCGCAGTCTAGATGGGATCTTACAGAAAATAAACCCTTTTCCGGAAGATCCCTTATTCCTACTTTCGAGCGCCGTCTAGACTGGCCCTTTCTCCGGCAAAACCCCGAGCCGGAAAAAAGCGTCAGCCATGTTCATGCAAATGCCGCGGGGGATATTTAAATCCCCCGCGGCATTTGCAATTCCAAAGTGTCTCATTAGCATCCCTTTTCCGGAAAAGGGTGCCAATGTAGACACAGCCATGGAGTTGGCACTTACAGCAACACTGAAGTAGACATGCTCGGACTTGGTACACAGTATCACTACTTTGCTGAGGAACGCCTGGATAGTACATTGTCAGACAGCAGAACTATCTCAAACTCCTTAGTGGTCTCTCCTTAGTGGTCTGTGTAGTTATCACCAGGGGGCAAGGCCAGCTGGAGGCTACTCTCAAACACAAGGATTCGAAGAAACTGCACCTTTTGGTGCATTGTTGGGTATGGTCATACATTTTGGAATAGAAATAACAAAAGTATTTCTTTTGGGAAGTGTGTAGGCAATACATGTCATCATCTCAGGCTTCTGGTAAATGACAAAAAATGTTGCTAGTTCCAGTGCAGAGAATTGAATTTATAGACATGGTACTTGACTCTACTGCAGCCATGGCATCCCTCCCCAAGACCGAATCAGGGCACTTTGCCAACTGTCCCTTGCCCCCTGATGATAACAAGGACATGTCTGCACATCCTCAACCATATGGCATCTTGCACTTAGGTGGCGCCTTTAGCCAGGCTCAAGATGCACCCACTCCAGTTTGGCTGGCATTGGTGTACTCCCCAGTGCTGCACCCCCTTGACTGCACAGTCACAATAACACTGCACATCCTCCATTTTCTGCAGCAGTGGACAGAAATACACAATCTCCTTACAGTTGCCCTTGTTCAGGCAATCCCAACACTCAGTGGAACTAGTTTTCAACATCTCAGCCCTGGGGTAGGAAGTTTTCCTCAGGGCCAGTGGTCCCAGAATGAGACAGCCCTCCACATAAACATCATAGAGCTCAGTGTGGTCAGAAACGCACGTGAAGTGTTCTTGCCTCACTTGCAGTGCTGAGTGGTCCGTGTGCTCACGGACAACGAGGCAGCCAAGTTCTTTCTATATCAGCAGGCAGGAAGGAACCACTCCACATCACTCTGTGAGGAAGCAATCTGACTGTGATTTCTGTGTCCTCCACCATATCTTGCTGAAGGCACCCCACCTTCCAGGAGAGCACAAGTTAATCACAGAGGCTGTGTCTACATTGGCATCCCTTTCCGGAAAAGGGATGCTAATGAGACACATCGCAATTGCAAATCCGCGGGGGATTTAAATATCCCCTGCGGCATTTGCATTTACATGGCTGCCGCTTTTTTCCGGCTTGGGGATAAGCCGGAGAAAAGCACCAGTCTAGACGTGATTCTCCGGAAAATAAGCCCTTTTCTGGAGGATCTCTTATTCCTACTTTCAAGTGATTCTACTTTCAAATAGGAATAAGAGATCCTCCGGAAAAGGGCTTATTTTCCGGAGAATCACGTCTAGACTGGTGCTTTTCTCCGGCTTATCCCCAAGCCGGAAAAAAGTAGCAACCATGTAAATGCAAATGCCGTGGGAGATATTTAAATCCCCCACGGATTTGCAATTGCGATGTGTCTCATTAGCATCCCTTTTCCGGAAAGGGATGCCAATGTAGACACAGCCAGACTGTCTGAGCAGAGAATTCTTATCTCACCTCTCAATCTGGAGGTTGCTCTTGTGGGTCTGGGTTTCTCCTCAAGTGGGCCTATTTGTGACACAAGGCAACACAGTATCCCACTATTTGCTCAAATATGGGCCTACAGGATAGTCTTTTGAATGCATTCCAGCCCCCCAATCACACCCACACCAACAGGTTCGGCTCCTTCGCGAGTCACTTGCAGCAGGCTCTGTGCCCATAGCCATGCTGCCATGACCTTCTGTCCCAGGACCACAGTTGTCTCCTTCCACCAGACATTCAGCTGTTCAATCTCATGATGTGGCTGCCCAAAGGCTGAGCATCAATTCAATCTCCCACCTTCCATCGGAGTCTCTCAGCAAAAAAAAAATGATGCAGGAAAGGACTGGGAGCGCCCTATATAGCGCAGCATGTGTGTACCACTCCAGGGGGTGCTGAGACCCAGGCCCTCATAGGTACTACTAAGGAAAAATTTTCCAGCACCAGTGCATGTGGTGAGCACACATACCTATGTTGAATGGACATCTTGAAGAACACCAGTTGTGGAAGCAGCTAACTGTCTTTTCACTGAACATTATGCCAGCACCGAGCAAGCCAGAGGCAATGTTGGTTTCAGCAAAGCTGTATTACAAGCGTCACATCCATGAACTTCTACCTGCCTCCATTATTACTGCTTGGGAATCACCTAACGTGGAATGGTTATGAACAAGCACTGCAAGAAGAAAAGACAGTTATCTGTTCTATAATGGGTATTCTTTGAAATGTGTGTGTTGCTCATGTCCATTCCATGAACCACCCTCCTTCTCCATTGTCAAAGTCCTGGCAAGGAGCAACTACGGTCAAGAGAGCCAATGGTGCCCCTCATACTGCACCATATGTCACCCACTTCAAGGGGTGCCAGAGCCAATTCTCTATGGATACTACTGAGGAAAAGCCAGCACTGGTGCATGTGGCGAGCACACACACCTACCATGGAATGGACATGAGCAATACATCTCAAGAACAGGTAACTCTTTTTGGAAAATCAGTGAAATAGCCAGTTAAGCCAACACTACCATCCACTTTAACTGTACCACCAATACATCTCAAACATTAACACTTTCACAGTTTCTGCATCTCTATGACAAAAACATTTACACATTTTTCATATTTGATATAAGTGAGATGTTCACTAGCTTATAGCAATAATACTCTTTTTAAAAAATGTCTGAGGGGTAGCCATGTTAGACTGTAATTTTAAAAACAACAAGTAGTCCTGTGGCACCTTAGAGACTAACAACAATATATAGGTATCAGGAGCTTTCATGGGCAAAACCCACTTCATCAGATGATGAACTTTTTTTTTTAAAGAGTCAAATACTGGTCTCAATCCACCCACATGAATCTCTAGTTCTATATTTAGAATGAGGCCATCACGTTTAAGTGATAAATACGCAAGTGTTAGCTTTAAAATTACTGTGAGTTGGCTTATGTTTGTTTTTACCTCCTTCACAGAATCATGCAGACATTTGTTACACAGCAGTGGAAAAATAGCAAAGAAAAATCAAATTGTACGCACAACAAGAAAGTGTCTGACAAAAAGGTGAAATCCCCTCTGCATATCTTTTCTACATTGCGCAGGTAATACCAGGTGAAATGTTTTTATTATCACATGCAGTGCAGATTCCACAGTATTCTTAACAAGGTGAAATTTTGACTTTGCTCCAAAGAGAAGTGTTCTGTTTATATCTTATCTCTTGGGTGTTGTGCTCTCAGCTATGTAGGATTTCAAGAACTAACTAGAAAGTAATGCAGCTTCTAAGATTGTTCTGGGGCCAGGGAGGCATTTTCATGGCCTTAGCTTCAAAAGACCCTACTCAACAGGGCTGAGAGCCACCTTAGGCCCTGGGGCAAGGTGTGGGGAAAACTGGCTATGCACCCCAGAACAGGTGGGGGCAAGGGAGGAAGGGGTGGACCAAGGGCAGTCAGCTCTTAATGCCACCAAGATCACAGCCTCACCCCCCGCATTGCTGCGCAGAGCAGCACCCCAGCAACAATTCAGAGGGGGCCCAGGATTCCAGCTACTTCAGCAGCAGCAGAGAGCTCCAGGTCTCTCTGGATTGCTGGGGAACTCTATGCCCCTTTGAAATGCTGGGCTCCAGGGAAATTTACCCCTTTGTCCCCTACCACCCTCCATTGGAGGGCCTGACCCTACTCATCTTGAACTTTAAATTGCTTATTTTGTCCTATTAAACTTAGCTGTGTGCGCTATTATTAGTTTAGTAGACTTCTATTTTGTAAGCCGTAGTATCCTGCTAGTTTTACTGCTGTCCAAATTTGCTTTCCATAATTGTATTTTTCTTCACTTTCAGAAATTTCAGATATTTCAAGGAATTAGGGGCCTGATTTTTAGGGGTGCTGTGCATTGACATCTCCTATTGACTTTATTGGGAGGCATGCATGCCCAGCACCTCAAAAAATCATTCAACAAGACATGTAAGGCCCAACCCTAGATATACTTATGCACATAACTAACTTTCCTTGTGAATAGTCCTGGTGAATCCCATTATATTCATACAATCATGAACAAAGTTATTCGTGTGCCTTCGTGTCTCTGGGTCTTACACAAAATAAAAGAGGAAGATGGAATTGTGAGCCAGACATTTTCCCACTCTGTATCAAACATTCACGCAAGTTGGACCATGTAAAAAAAAAAACACTTTCTGGGGTTCAATTTTTTTCACGAATCAAATACAAAAGCCAGCCCAAGTTCCTCCCCAAAGACTATGTAGGCCAAGGGTTGGCAACCTCTGGCACATGTGCCATAAGTAACATGCGAGCCAATTTTCCCTGGCATGTGAGCCTCCCCGTATGGATCCGTACGCCGACCATACAAGACTGTCCCGATTTTAACTGGCATTGCTCCTTGCGCAGTGCAGTGGCCTTTGCTATCCCCCTCTCCCCACTGCAGAGCCCATAGGTGGCTCCATTGGAGCTTTGCTGGTGGGCAGCTGGGTTGATGTCTGGTGGCACGCATTTTCCAGACCACTCTGCCACCCACTGCACCATCACCGTGTGCTGTGTGGCCCCCTCCATTCCCTCATAGGACTACTGTCTCGTGGGGCCCCCGGTCCAGACATGCTGCCTCCTCCTCCTCCAGGCTGCTTGTTGGTACAGCAGCTGCCACTGCCACTGCTGGGGTGGGCTGGGTGGATCCAAGGTAAAACTTGGCGGAGGTGCTCCCAAACCTCCATGCCTTGGAGCTGTCACTTCAGCCCTTTTAGGGGCCATGCTGAGACTGACTGGGATGTTGTGGGGCAGGGCTTGGCTGGTGCATGGCAGGGCATGTTTGGGCTTGGCAGGTGCACTCTGTGCGCTGCCGCTCTCTCTCCCTCCGCCCCGCCCCTCCCCACCCCGCGGGGGGAGCAGCAGCAAGCCAAGTCTGGTGGAGAAGGTTGGGGTTTCTTCATCCCCCCTGCTGCATCGGGATCTGGAAGTGGGGGAGCTGAGCTCGTTCCTCCTTCCCACCTCTCTGGGGGAATGGCAGCAGGCTGTCTGGAGGCTTTTCCCACTGCAAAGGGGCGTGAAGCCAAGTAAGCATCCCCTCTCATGCCCAGACCCCCACACCTCAATCCTCCTCACTCACTCCTCTCCCCCTGCCAAGACTCTGCATCCCCAGTTTGCTCCAACATGCTCCCTTGCTTCTGCACCCTCCTTCCTGGATAGATACACTCCCTCCTGGACATATACCCTACCCCCAGCCTGTTCCTACACCCTCACTTGCTCCTGTATCTCCCCCCAGCCAGACACTTCCCCTCCCTGCACTCCAGCATCTACCGTTGCTCCTGCACCCTTCCTCCTGGCTACACACTTCATCCTCCCTTGCTCCTTCTCCCTCTCCCAGCCAGACACACTATGCCCAGCCTGCTTCTGTGCCCTACCTCCCACCCAGACCTTGCAATCTCTCCCCCTTCTGCACCCATTCTTATCCCACACACTGGCAGCCCAGTCCCGCACACTGAACCCCTCATTTTTGTCTCCACCCCAGAGACTAAGAGGGTCCATAAAATCCGCTAACTCCAGAACTCCAGAAAAGTAAATCTGGCCTATGGGAAGCCCTGATCCTCAGTTCTCCCTGTCCCTCACCTTCACCGTGTGGTAGCACAAAAGGAGTGAAGTGTCTCAGTTGGGGGACACATCAGTGAGGGTTGTGGGGTTTTGAGGAGGTTTTTTGCTTCTCACTTGTGCGGTCCCCAATTGATTTCTGTGGGTCAATGGCCCCCAACCCAAAAAAGGTTCCCCATACCTGCCATAAATAAAGAAAACATTGAAACCTTTTGTGTTGGACATAAATTAATATTTTACTTTATTTTAAATGAAGTATGATTAACATGAGAAATTTGAAACACGTAATCTGTTTAATAATTTAAATTAAATAGTTCTCCCTAGCTGCAGCTGGTTCAGAAAATATGGTCTCTGTATCCAACCTACCCCTGCCCCCCATCTTTCCCCCAACACACAGATCCGTAAATAGAAATGAATAAGTTAAATCTTGGCATGCCACTTCTGAAAGGTTATCAATCCCTGGTTTAGGCCATACGCTAAACCTCCTTTCTTTGTAGAGTACCACTCTAATCTCCATTATATGTATGTATGGTAATGAATCATTTACAAGAATGAGTCAGCATATTTCACTGAATATTTTCCAGCAGGATCACCATTTGCTAACAGTTGGGTAAACACTGCCAGCCTGTTAAAAGAGATTTCATTTCTCTGCTATGTGAGCAAACCGAAAAGGTTTTACTTTTGTATGAAAGATGGAAAAATAATTCAGGAAGATTTCATTTTGCCTGATATCAGATTTCTTAGTAATAGGTAAACACATTTTAAATACTGATTCCATAACATTAGAAAAATAATTCAGATCGTTGGAATGTTACTTCATTAATACCTCGATTCTTTGTTTTCTTGATACATGTATTAAGCCTGATTACCCTCTTACATTATGCTGCTCCTAATCCAGAATATGATGAAGTAAAACCAGTTGAAGTGAGAACAGATTCAGGCCAAACTGTCTTCTGCAAAATAATCAAATTATTGTGAGGTGGTTGTTTTGGGTTTTTTTTGTTCTGTTTTCTTTTTTTTAAATTGTTTCAGGTGAGATACATGTGAGTATCTGTATACAAGCTTTGTAGTAGTTATAAGAGCCCAATATATCCTGCAAATGTTCATAATCTATACAAGTTACTCTTCTGTGTGTTTATATGTAAAGTTGTTTGTTTATTGTTTATTGTTTTGTAAAGTTTTTTATTATTCTTCTACTAGATTTTCCCCTTGCTTATTTTTAAGGTCGCCAAGTTATCCTCCACCTGGCTGTGGTAAAAACAAATCAAAACTGAAATCGGAACAAGATGGCATCTCCAAAACTCACAAGCTGCTGAAAAGGACTTGTTCTAGCACAGTTAAGGCTGAAGATGTGTGCACCACAAAGTCTCACAGAACCTTTGGCCGTTCATTGTCTAGTGATCCCAGGGCTGAGCAGACCATGGCTATTAAATCGCACAAACTCTTGAATCGTTCTTGCTCAACAGCTGTCAAGCAAGAAGAGTGTATCACTCTAAAGCCTCAAAAACTCCTAAGCAGGCCATGTTCTGGGGATCCTCGATGTGAGCACAATAGCACCTTGAAACCCCATAAACTTTTAAGCAGGTCTTACTCCAGTAATCTTAGAATGGAAGAATTAGATGGACTGAAGAATCACAAGTTACTCAGCAAGTCTTACTCCAGTGCCCCTAAGTCATCCAAAATGGAGCTTTTCAAGGAACCCACGATAGCAGAGGGCAGGAGGCTCTCTCTTACCTCAGGTCTTATTGGTATCTTAACTCCATCTTCCTCATCCCCTTCGCAAGCTGCTGTGCGTAATAATCAATATTCTCTGTTTTGTTTGTTTTTCCTCTTGTTTGTTTTGTAAAAAACACTAATATGTAAGTACTTCTCTAAATGCAGGAGAGATTTAACATTAAGGAAACAAATTGGGAATTACTTGTTTAGTCAATATTAAACAATTTCTTGCTCACATATGTATTTCTCATACTAGCTGGGACCACTTTGACCAAGACTGAGCTTTTATGTCTCCTAAGTAAGGAAGGGGCAGCATGCTGCTGCTGTGCCACAGGAGCAGATCAGTCACATAGTTCCTTCTCTGGAACTTCCCTTGCTACACAGGGGAAATAATCTGCCAGTGGACCCTTACAATATTAAGTTCCTCTGTATTCATGCCAGTCACTACATGGGAGGCAGTGGAGGTGCTACCCTTTACTTGTAGGCACTGGTTCAGGGGAAATTAATATTCAATGGTGTCTGCTTCCTCCAGAGCAGCAGTTCTCAACCATTTCTAGATGGGGACCCATTTTGACAATTCAGGAAGACTTGGTGACCCAGGGCAATTCAAAGAAATGTGTGAATGGCTCCTTAAGAGCCACCTGGGGAGACACTTGGAGACCCTTTTGAAATGTAATAGTGACCCATATTTGGGTCTTGACCCATAGGTTGGGAAATCCTGCGCCAGAGTCTATGCACAGACTGTTGATAGGGGTAAATTGAGCAGGGGATTGAAACCCATTTTCTCCCCTTACATCACTTGGGTAAGTCCTCTACATGACCGTACAGATGATGTTGTTTTAGATTGGGAAACATTCATTTTACTGAACATAGAAGATATACTTCAGTGTTCTATCTGTAACTGACAACTAAAAATAGGGAGAATATTAATGTAAGAGTAAGGAAGAGCCACCTTGCTTTCCTGTTTCAAGGTATTGGAAGGCAGCGCTTGTTGGTCTTACATATTAGATTAGGGAAGCTGGAGTCAGGAGACCTAGGTTCTAGTCACAACTTTACCATTAAATATGGTAATTCAGTGTCCCCACTTTGACAGAATTGTGAGTTCTGTGGTTGAATGGTGGTATACAAGTCTAAAATATTATGAAATATTCTAACTAATGAAATTGCAGTAGCAGTGTTTCAGCCTACTCTTAGAAAATTAGCCTAATACGTCATCTATGAGCAATTCTAGGTTTATTATCTAAAGGCAATAATATATTATGACTTACAGTACTATTGTATGTATTCCACTTGGTGGTTTCTATAACTTGTACAACCAAAATTAATGAAAGGTGAACTGAAAATCTTTATCTGCTGTCACCTATATTTGAGATTAATTTTTTCCTCTGTTTAGGGGCCTGAATAAGCTCCCACTTAAAATCAATAGAAATGATCCCACTAATTTGGTGTAATCAAAACTACTAATAAAAACAGTGTTGTTATTATTATAATGCATAAATATTGAGGGAAATCAGCCAATATTCAGTCAAGTGCAACTCCATTGACTTCAGTGGAAAGGCATTAATTTGGCACCTGACTTATTAAAATCTTGTCTCTTTTCTACTGCCATACTTGGGGTATGTATACTTGGTGTAGTGTGTAGGAAAAAGATACTTGGGGTTGTATATAGGAAAAAAAGCAGCAGGAGAAGTTAAAAAAAATTATACAAATAAGCAACTTAGTTCATCTTGTACTGGAGTAAAAAAGATGGACTGAGGTCAGGGGAGGGAGTTCCACACCTTAGTTGCTACAATTGCAAAGGTACCTTCCAAAGTAGTGTGCAATTACACTTCAAAAAAAGAAGGTCTGAGCATAGAAACTTGTGAGGATGAGATTCAAGGAAGAGGTTTCATGAACAGTATAATGGAAAGAGATTTTCTATTCTTATTTCGTTATTTTAAAAGTCATTTTAGTCATTCAGGTCTAAACACGTATGTGCATATTATGTATGTGTAGAGAAGCAGAATATATGAATAATAAAGAATTTTGTTAACTTTTAATTTAATTGCTTAAATGTTTGTATATTAATATGGAGTCAAAGCACCCGTGCTTCCTTTTGATATTAGAATGTTTGGAGTGTTCACAGATAAAACATAAACTCATTAAACAAGTGTGAAAAGAAAGAGATTAATTTATCTTGGCTAATCAATACAAACTAGTAATATTTCCAGATAACAGAATTGTTTAATCCATAGACTTTCATAGAAACCTACATCTCTTTTAATTAGTTCTAGCACTGAAGTTGCTCAACCTTTTTTTGTTACAGCCGAATTATGGTGCAAAATGCATTCCAATACGAGACCATGGCTTTCTTGTGCAGGTAGGATGTCATGCTTAATCCATTTTAGAAACACTTTGGGACATGAGCTGTCTATTAATTATTTTTAAGCAGATGTTATTGTTCTCACTTTCATTGTTCTCAGACTATTGAGTTTGCTGAACAGCGGATACCAGTGCTGAATGAATACTGTGTAGTGTGTGACGAACCTCATGTATTTCAGAATGGCCCCATGCTGAGGGTAAGTTGCATATGGCCTAATTATGAGATTCATTTTTAATATCTTAAATAGTCATTAACAAGAAAAATCTGTTACAAGATTCTCAAGTTATTCTGAATACACTATATCACAATATTTATTTGCATAAGATTTTTTTTAAAATACACTAGGTTGAACAAGCCATCTCAAGCCAAATACACATTGATAACCTGTCTTCACGGGGCAGTGAATTACTACCCAGCCATTCCTGTATAAATTGAAGTTCAGGGAAACACGACAAGGAAGACAGCAGTAGTGGCCTAAACTCCCACACCTAATGCTCAAAGGACAAGAGTTGCCAGGATTTGTAAACCTATTTCTGGTGTAGGGGTCAGAAGAAGTCAGTAGCCTTGGGACCTGTACTGTGACTCAAGCAAATATCCCTCTGTGACAGGGTATACCAACCCTGTACTGGGCCTGTAAGGGTTAACAAGGCTTACCTGTCTGAGAGAGCTCCTCCTCCACAGCCCTGCAGGGCATGCTCCAACTGGAGGACTAGAATAAAGGCCAGTGGAGCAGTTCAGTCTGGGCTAACCACTGCAGATGAAGGCGTTGTTGCTGCCAGAGCTCAGGAGAAGGAGCAGCAGGCAGATGCTGCAGCGGAAGTCAGCCAGCAGAGACTGTCCAGGGAAGCTCCCAGTCCGGAGGAGGTGAGTGGGAAAGATGCCAACGACTGTGAACAGAGTAGGAAGTAGCTCAGGGTGGGAAGCTAGACTCCTGGGAGCTCAACATGTTGTGGGACGATTCCCCACTGAGCTAGTGGTGGGGCACTCCCACTACTGACAAGCCCTGGGATGGGACCTGGTGGAGAGAGAGGTCCCTGGTCCTGCTACCTCCAGACCATGTGACAGGGTGCTCCTGTTGATGTTGTTGACTCAGTCACAGGTCCCTATTGCCCTGATAATGGAGAAAGGGGGTAGTGCGAGGCCTGTGGGCACTTGGGATGGTATACAGGGTGGAATACATATTACGGGGCCTAATAGGACCAACACTGTGCCTCAGCAGGGTCTGAGCATACCCACTCCATGACAACTGGTGGAGAATTTAAAGTGATCCCTTCTCTGAAATAATGGGAAGTGTGGAAGGACAGAATTGAGTAGCCAAGAAACTGAGAGGGAGGGGGGAAAGAAAAAAAAGGGGAAGTTTTGATTTAGTAATATCTATTAGACATGATGGATCTCAGCAAGTTTTTCAAGTGGTTGCTGGACAACCAGCAGAAGCAGGCTGTCCAACAGCAACAGATTCTGCATATGGTGACCCAGCAACAATTGCAGGCAACCCAAGCAGCAGCAGCTTCTGCTGAGGGGACTCACCACACAACAGCAGACCCAAAAGGACCAATGGATGCAGCAGATAATGGCTCTGTTATGGGCTGCATCACCTCCCCTCCCTAGCCCAGCTGAAGATGGGGCTGAGAGTGGCCCGATGGGGTTGCTCATATGCTCCACAAAGATCCCACAATGATCCTGAAGCCTACTGGGTGACATTTAAGTGGATTGCTGTTGTCATGGGACAGCCACCAGAATACTTGGCCACATTACTGGCACCTTACCTGGCAGGTCCTGCTCAGATGAAACTTGGACTCTGCGGGGTACTGGAGTACCTCTGGGTTAAGGCAGCTATATTAGACCAAGCTGGGATCAGCCCTGAGACATACCACCAGCAGCTGTGATGGGAACAGTATCCTCTGGGAGTCAGGCCCAGAGCAATGGCCCAGCAGATTCAGGATCACTGCTGGCAGTGGCTAGAATCAGACCCACGGATAGCAGAACAGACAGCCAAACTGGTAGCTCTGGAGTAGTTTGTGTGGATCCTACCTAAGGGCGGGAAAGTGTAGGTACAACAACACCTCCCTAAGACCTTAGTGGAGGCCATCTCCTTCATGGAGGACTATATGGCCGCTGAAGAGCCTGTGATGCCAGTCCAGAAACCAGGGCGCCTGAGAGCAAAGAGTAAGCTGCAAATTAGGGGACACAGGAAGGTAAATGGGAGTGCACTGACCTCCCAAGAGGAAGAATCGTGACAACCCAGGGCAACTCAGCTGTAGGAGTCCCCTAGGCCACCTAAAGGAGCCAGTGAGGGACATGCCTGCCCGAGAAGAGGTGGACTCTCCAGTGGATTGGGAAGCTTCCCCCCAGGAGATACCCCTATGGAGCTGAACAAGGGCTGCTGTTACCAGTGTGGCCAAGAAGAATATTTCTGGAGGGAGTGTCCCCTCATGGTCTGCACTTATGGGCAGGTGCTAGTGGCAGGATCACAGGCTAGAAAGAGACCCTACTAAGATAGTGATCCTTATCAGGGTTAATAGAACACCTACTATGGCATTGGTGGACTCAGGGTGCAGCCAAATCATTATCCCATTACCAGGCAAAAGGGAGGAAAATGGTGCAGCCTCAATGAATCCATGGGGACGTGAAAGTTTATCCCACAACCAAGGTGACGCTGTAGATCAGGCCATGGGGAGTATGTTGCCAAGTGGTGGTGGCTAAGAAGTTAGCCTACCCAGTGGTCTTGGGGAACGACTGACCCAACTTTACAGACCTCCTATGAGGTGAGTATGTATGGCCCAGTAAAAGGGAGGGGCCCAGCACACTCAGATGGCTCTGATAGGTCAGGAGCCACCAGATGACACGAGGGAAGGACCCTCAGGAACCCCGAGGACAGAGGGTTCCATGCCCAGGACAGTAGAGACACTGGTCGACCCTTGACAGGTGGGAATGGACCTCAAGTTCTGGCAGGTATTACTATGCTTAGTGCATGCAATACCATGGGCTGGGCACTTGGGGAGAGAAAAGATGCAACAAAGAGTAGCCTAATGGTTTTTTTTAGCCTCGAATACATCAGGATGTCCGCAACTTTTGTGCATCGTGCCCCGAGTGCCAGAAGACCAGTACTGGAGGAGTCCCACAGGCACTTCTGGTTCCGTTAATTGTGGTGGGGATCTGTTTTGAGCACATAGGCTTAGACCTGGTGGGTCCCCTAGAGAATAGTACTAGCGAGCATAACTACATCCTGGTTATAGTGGACAATGCCATGTGTTACCCTGAGGCAGTTCCCCTAAATCCACACCCTGTGACAAGACACTCCCATTGTTGCTATTGACTTGGCAACTAGGCCTTATTGTCTCAGTGACTGGGGCTGCTATTGGCTTGGCCAATGGGCCCTACTGCCCTGCAGGCAGGAGTGACCACGGACTTGGGCTGCAAGGCCAGGCTCTCATATGGGAGAAAGGGAGTAGTGTGGGTACTTGGGATGGTAGCATTCATAGGGTAGAACACATTACAGGGCCTGATAGGCTCAATGTCCTGCCTTAGTATACTGGGTATACCCACCCTGTGACACCCTCCATCTCATCTTCTCTGAATTAGCCCAGGGCTTATTTTCTGCACCTGGGAAGTCCCAGATGTCTAAATGAGAAAGGAGGCAAGAGAAAAGTACTGGAAACCAAAATCTTGGCCTAGAATCAAAAGGAGGTACTTTTTGGTACACGATCTCAAACAGCAGACAGGAAAACAACTCAGTTCATGAACCTGAGGTTGTGCCCAGTTCCACTGAGACCAATCCTGGGTATGAAATGAAAATTGATTCCCTTGAGTGTGGATGTATTGGTCCCTCACCTAAGATTTTTGGATACGTCCAAGCCAATGATTCTCTATTTCATAACATTAGAAGTTGTTGAGGTGAACAGAATCCTGATATATGGAAAATCCAAATGGCCAGGGCTGTACTTCATAATAAATGAGGACTTAATGTGTAAAATAATCAGACTATAAGAACAAGAACAGGAGCAGCTTCTAATACCTTGAGGATATCAAAGAGCACACAGCCATTGTTTGAAAGATATTTAGGAGTAGATAAAACACTAAACAGAATCATGCAGAGTTTCTTTTGGCCAGGAACCATATGGAGGTCTGAAGCTATTGCACCTCCTGTCTGAAATGCCCAATGAACACCTCACAGCCTCACTTATGAGCCCCATTGGTACACCTACCAATTATTGAAAGGTTAGCAATATACCACTGGAGAAGTTGGCCCACGGTCATTAATGTGTGCTCATTCTTCTGGGTTATACTACCCAATACACAGAGGCTCTACCCCTGTGAAATGCAATGTCCAGGATGTTAGCAAAGGAGTTAATCCAAATTTTCAGTAGGATAGGTTTACTCAAGGAGATTCCGACAGATCCAGGAACCCACTGTGTATCAAAATAGATGAAGAACATACGTGCAAATACAGGCCTTAGAAACCTCTGTCTATCATTTGCAGACTGGTGGCCTTGTGGAGTGCTTTAACAGGATGCTGCAAAGCATGTTATGGGAAGTACTGAGTTGAAATGGGGAAAAATTGGGATACCTTGCTACGCTTCCTAAGATTTCCTATAACAGATTTCTCAGGCTTCTGCTATATGTAAATCCCCTGCTATACATATTAGATGTTGCTAGAGAGGACTGGTAAGAAGAGCCCTGTAACGGGGTCCACCTGCTTGTGAGCGCCCCTCTGTGGCAAAGGGGTGCCATGTAAGGTCTTTGCCTGGTTGTCTTAAAGGTTCTGAGGTTAAGATCTGATTAGCCTGGGTACAGTGCTGTCGGTTTTTATAGTAGGCTTGTGGCCAGTCTTTGGCCACCAGACCTAGGCACTATCAAAGCTGCTTACTCCTGCGTTTGGGTCCTTGTTGGCTCTCTAGAGCAGATCTTTCCTGGGCTCAAAGTAGGGGAATTGGTAGGCTGGAGCTTCCTGAGTAACTACCTCGTCAATGACTGATCTGGGAATATGCTTCCCTCTGGGTTTCATCTTCTTTTTGACCTCTGACAAAATCATATGTGCTGGTTAAATATTCCAAATCTACTTTGGGGAGGGGAACCCCTTGCAAAAGTTCTTCTGAGTCAGAAGGTGTGTCTCCTTCTTCAGAAGGGACATCCTCTCCTTGCTGAGATGACACCTTCTGTGGCTAGGTTTCTCCAGCCAGATGAGTTTGGAGCCAT